TAGATACCACAACTTACCTAACTTGGGGTCTTTGTAAAAAGTCTCACCTAATTTGCAGAAATTGTGCATGATAACGGGGGGGGGATTAGAAATACGCACCGGTAACTAACATTTAAAATCCAACTAACCTTCACAAACTTCTCGAACAAACTACTTAATTTCGATAAAATGGGTGCAGGATATTTGACTCAGTCTGTCGTTTTTAAGAAACTCGCAATTCAGGGGGCGGAGTGACGTTGTCCAAAACTTACTTCCTGATTATCAAATTCCTCATAATACTGCTCGAATTCCATGGTTGCAACTTTGTAGGAGAAAATTAGCATTGCTAATAAATTTTTTTATTAAATTCGCCTGTGTTTTCTTGGTTTTTCTTCCGTGTCTAGAATTGGTAATTCCAGAGTAGCTCACTCGTCGCGCATACGAATTATAGCATTAACTAGTCGTTATTTTTGCCATTATAAAGTATAAGTTATCGAAATTTTGGGAACAATTCACCAAAGTTTTTTAAAGTTTACAACTATATGATTCCATAATTTCGTGAAAACACAATGGTTATTTTATAGACAATGCCCTCGATCAACCAAAGTAAAACATTGAAATTTTATTTTTTGATTTGCTAATGAGCTATGTTTGCAATTGCTTTTTAAAAGTTCACAAACAATATTCATTTTTGCAATTTTCAACAACGAATGTAACGGGTATTATTTACATATCTTTGAACGCGACGACGCCGTCACACTGGAGCAGGTGCTCGGTAACTATGATATTTTTAGTCAAAACACAGTTGCCATGTAAAAACCGAAAGTGAGTATGTTGTAATAGAATTATGAATGTTTTCTATATAAGTTACAATCAACTTTAAAATACAATCTTTAGTACAATTCAACTCGTGCATTCTTATATTTATGCTGCCCTTTCTAACTATCAAATGTTCAAGGTGAAGAAGCTAGAGCCATCGTAATTCATGCTTATTTGTTGTCTAAGAACAGCAACATTTAATTTTTTCATAAGTTTAATAACTTTGGTAGCCACTCCAAATCATTTGATGTTTAAGTCATAAATATAAAATATTCCCCGAACCTTAAAATTGCACATTTATCTGTGGAAATCAAGCGATGGCAAGTGGTGGTGTGCAAACTTTTTCCTATAGTCATGTGAATAATGGTGAAATTATATGGGTAACTTACCTTTTGTTTAAAGTTTGGTTTCGGTTTTGTGAACAACTGCTCTGTTGAGCGTTTGATATCATGTGACCGTCTATCATTCGGTGTTGTAAATATATAATTCTCCTTAATATCTTAATTCTTCTTTGCTATTGGTTGTTGTCGCAAAACAAAACTGCTGGGCCCCCTGGGAAACTTCGCTTCACTCCACATATTGGACTAAGTTTTTCATATGCTGAGCAACTTCTTTTTGTGAGCGGAATGATTTTTGTTGAAATACATAATAAGCATTTCATTTCATTTTACAGACATTTTACAGATCGTTTTGAGCTATAATTGCAATGTGTCGCTCGCAATTCAGGATCGGAGAAAAGTTGCTTTGTTAAGTGAAGAACGCCTGGTTTACTTAATAATTCTTAATAAAAACTCATACTCAAAGACAATTCAGAAAAACAATAATAATTGAAAACCAAAATCTCCATAATCTTAAAACTGTGGCATTTTTGCATTGTTCATGAAAATGCACTTTAAATAAATTGATTTTAGTATGCATGAAAAGAAGCAAACTGCTTTATAATTAGTTAAAATACACTAAACTTTATACTTTATATATTATATATAAAGTGTAAAGTTTTCATTTAATCAGTGTTATATTAAAGGCTATGTGCATATCTTTCTGCTATTAGCTATAATGACCTTCTAAGATCTAAGGAAACGATTGGTTAAAATGTATCATGCATTCCAATAAAAAGTGCCCCACATGTAGTTTTCCCATCGTCCCCCAGCAGTTTCGTTTTGTGACAACAACCAATAGCAAAGAAGAATTGTGATACTAAAAGAGACTCACCCGCAGCCACACGTAACCTCAATAAATCACATAATACCTAACGTTCAAGAGCAGTTGTTCACAAAACCGAAACCAAAGTTAAACAAAAAGTATGTCACCTATACAATTTCAACATAGTTCACATGAATGGGAAAAAGTCGGTAGACCGCCACTTGCAATCGCTTACTTTCGACAAACAAATGCACGATTTTAATGTTCCGAGGGTATTTTATAGTTAGCTATAACTTACTTATGTAATATCGAAGTTATTACACTTTAAAAATTAATAATAAAGAAGTAAATGTTACTGCTGCTAGACCACAAATAAGCAAGAATTACGAACATTTGATAGTAAGGGAGGAAAGCATTTAAGGACACGAATGCACCTGCTACTATGTGATGGCAAGTTGAAAATTGCAAATGCGAAAATTATTACACCTGTGATGTTTTAAAAAGCAGTTGAAAACATAAAATTTCGATTTTTTATTTTGGTTGAGAGCATCGCCTGGTTTGACTATTAAATAGCTAATGAAAAGTTCAATCGCTTTTTTGATGGTTTTATGAAAAATATTCAATCACCTTTTTATGCTGGAACAATTGTATTACCGTTTTTCGATTCTAAGTCTAGTCAAACGAATAAATAGCTACAAAGTCAAAGCGGGATCGTATGAAATGTCCGATTCAGAATTAAATCGCACATGGTGAGTTCGACTCCTCAAAAACAGAAAATTTGAAATAGTCTAGCTACATTCAACTCGTGACTAAATTTCTTTTCTTACAACGAAAATCATGTACAATTCAGTGAATTGTGATTAATAAGCTTTACAAACGCCTACATATTCAAGTGTACACATAGAGCTTATTAAAAGAATCCTTAAAAAGTAAGTTTTAAAATGAACATCAAAAGTCGCAAAGTTGATGGTAAGTTTTACAAATTTAGTTATTGCATTCTAGCTTTAAAATAGCTACTAGTTTCGTCTAAGAATATTTTCCTATAAGTATATGAGTACAAAGAAATTTACCCTTTCACTTAATACCCAAGAGTCTATCTGCCTATAATTTATTTCACTAAATTGATCGATTCGAGCCAACAACTTTTCAAATTGAAACAACTTTTTACAAAACGAACCTTCATCTAACGTATTATTTAATGACCATACGAGCTCCAGACATGTGAAAACCCTAAACCATTTTGTTGACATCACTATTCATCGCTCTAATGGAAAGTTCTTCACGTCCATATACAGAAAACCTACGTTCACTGGTCTTTTTACTAATTTCCACAGCTTCATCACACTAACATATACACGCAGTATAATATTATGTTTAGTTCATCGCTTTTTTAATATTTTCTCCACTTATGAAAACTTCCATACTGAAATCGAAAAAGCACGCAGATTCTTTATTTCCAATTTATTTCCCTGTCACATATTTGATCACTGGGTAAAAATGTTTTCTGACAAAGTCTTTCAACCCAAACTACCTCTTCATACCGTACCCTAAAAAATACTGTATTTCGGCCTTCCATTTGCTGGCTTACACTCATCCCAAATCCGCACACAAATCATTACCCCTTTGACTGGTAAACCTTCTAAACATCCCAGTCATTCCTCCATACTATCACACCTTAAATCCACAGGACACACCGCCACCTTCGAGGATTTTAAAATACTTTCTTCATGCTCAGACTCGCAAGAGCTTCTTAGTCACGAAAGCCTCTTAATCAACAAAATGCAACCATTTCTTAACGTCCAAGGAAACTCCATTGTCCTTCAGTATCTTTAATCTAATTTCGTCCGCCCTCATGTCTGTATACTTTATGATTGTGTGTGTTTTTTGTTTCTGTCGTGTTTCTACTTATCCCACGTCATACCATCTTATCCCATATTTACTTTCACGTTTTCATTCCACCGTGTAATTTAATATTATGTAAATAGCTATTATATATATATATCCCTCTATACTTGTAATTTAATACTGTCTGACGATATCATGACAGTCAAGACGAAACGTTAGGGTTCTAAATAAATATTTCTTTTTATACCTTATTTTTGTATTGAATGGCTCTTTTAAAAGCACTTTGCTGGACTTTAATATTTATATTAAGGACTTTGCTATCAACTTTAAAATATACTCCTCTGGAGCTATATTTCAACTCGTGCATTCTTGTACTTATGCTTCCCTCCCTAAATATCAAATGTTCAAGGTGAATAAGTGCCATCGTAATTTTTGCTTATTTGTCCAAAAATGTTGAACTAATCATCGCTTTTGTTGACATTTTGGGCTATGATCCCATCAGAACGCCTTATCAGGCTAAAATATAAACTAAACAAGCACTTTGTTCAACGGATTTGCTGCAATTCATTATTGATTTTTTTTGACAATATTACCGTTTCTTATAATAAAGTCAGTACTTCTCTTCAATTTTGCCTCGTGAAGTGTTTCTAATTGATCCGAGATCACAACACATATTTAAGTTCAAAATACGATATCGTTAATTATTACTTGCTGTCAAATGTAGAACGTTTATTGCATTGTCACTGAAAGAGCTTGGCGCATTTTATAAATATGTAACTATTTTGGCGGATATCGACTAATTTGAGCAACTATAATTAAAATTTTCGAGTCGTTTGGCAAGAATTGTTGAAATGAATAAGCGCTTTATATGGACGTCGGAATTGATTTTCGAGTTTTTTCAATTTATGCATATTTTCGTAGATCGCAATTCTGTGATCTATTGACAAGGCTTTAAACGAATATAAAAGCTAATACTTGTACAAATAAATGGACAGTTCCAAAAATGGTCATACTGATTCATAAAATGCAACAAGTTCCGATCAGTTACAATGTAATAAATGTTATATATGTTTAATTGTAACTAATATGTAAATTTTTTATAGAATATTAACATTTTTGTTTGTTAAATTGAGCATATAAACAAGTCTCATTTGCGGTTTTATGTTTATAGCTACGTGTGCGAGACATTCGCGATTCGAGACTTAGTTAAAAATTCCTGTTTTAAATGGCATTGACTTCAGCTGTGATGAAACAATACCGTGAAATTATGTTGAAAGAATTGGAATTGGAAAAATATAAAGAAGAAAAATTTATGAAGGTTTTTTAAGAGGCAGCTGATTTAATGTTGAAACATTATGCAAAGAATGTTTCTGATTTTATACCGAAATCAAAATAATATCTTTTGTTTTCTGAAACACTTAAAAAATATAATAAAATATTGTGGAATGAAACTGATGAATATAGATCATCGAAGAAAAAAGAAAATGCGTTAAAACGTGATGTGCAAAATTGTTATGAAGAGCATGTGTTGGAAGAAGATAGTAAAGAAGACTTTAAAAGAAAACGTTTGGAACAAAGAAATACAGCGATTAATATTTCACCAGATGTTCATGAAACTGATGCACCTGTCGAAACAGTAAGTATTGTAGTAAGTATTTCGGATATTAGGACTAAAAATTTTTTGGAAAAATGTTATGAGAACAGGTAAAAAATTGAAGAATACTTTGAGAATGTTGAATTTTATGATAAATGTTTAAATAAGAAAGAAATGATAAATTGTATGTTTGTGGAAAAGGGCTTATAACATTTTTGTCATCGTAGAATATAATAAAGCTGTATTAGTGTTGTATCATAGCACTCAATAAACAGAAGCGACACTTCTTCGAAGTTTTTAGTCATGCCGACAATCACCGGAAGTGAGCACCGCCATGTTTTTGGGTAGTGAAATGGGATACTTATAAACAATATGACAAAAAGTGGATAGTCATGTTCAAAAATGCTTTAATGGAGTGTAATTAGATTTTTAAGTAAAAAGAGTCAACAAAGTAAAAGTATGTTACCTTCTCTTTAATTTTCGGCGTGACCAAAAACTTCAAAGGAGTGTCGTTTCTGGTTAGTTCGATATTCTGTGATAAAGCTGTATAAACATTTGTATCACGGATCGCCGTAGCATCTAATATTACTAATAAACCTGTATAAAACATATTCAGTATCATCGTAGCATATATAATATATAGCTGTATGATCATTTGTGTCGTCATAGAATTTAATTGTAGTTATTGTGAGTATTATTTCTTTAATGAATACTTGTTATTAAATACTTGTATTTAATGAATCGTATTAAATAAAATAATTTTGATTTGTGCATATTTTACAATTTTTATTTTAATCCAAATCCATCGGATGTATTTTAACGTTTGAATATGTAATCTGTAGATTTCGATAACGTTGAGAATAATTTTCATTTTTCGACGTTTTACTGATCAATTTGAGCTATAAGTTGCAATGTGTCGAAATTTGCACTCAAACATGGTATTTTTGATTGTTTTGTTTCAAAATTGACTTTGAGTTCGTGACGTTGTTTAGAAGACGGAAGTTCAATTTAAAGCTTAAGCATATAAACATATTACATATATAGATACCATAACTTACCTAACTTGCGGTCTTTGTAAAAAGTCTCACCTAATTTGCAGAAATTGTGTATAATAAAGGGGAATTAGAAATACGCACCGGTAACTAACATTTAAATCCAACTAACTTTCACAAACTGCTTGAACAAACTAATTAATTTCGATGAAATGGGTGCGCATATTTGACTCAGTCTGTCGTTTTTAAGAAACTCGCAACTCAGGGACGTTGTCCAAACCTTACTTCCTGGTTATCAAATTCCTCATAATACTGCTCGAATTCCATGGTTGGCACTTCGTAGGGGAAAATTGGTATTGCTAATAAATTTTTTTATTAAATTCGCCTGTGTTTTCTTGGTTTTTCTTCCGTGTCGTGAATTGGTAATTCCAGAGTAGCTCACTCGTCACGCATAACAAATATAGCTTTAACTATTCGGTATTTTTGCTATTATAAAGTATGAGTTATCGAAATTTTGGGAACAATTTACCAAAGTTTTTTAAAATTTACAACTATATGATTATTAACTACAATAATTCCGCGAGACAAATTCTAATATAATTATGAAACAGTTTGCTTCATGCATGCTGAAACAATTTACATAAAGTGTTCACGAACCAGCAATCCCTCTGAATTGAAGATTCGTGAACCATATACTGCAGTTGAAAGAATGTATGAGAACTTTAGGTGTCCAGTTTCTGCATCAAAGCACTCCATGATTAAAATAGTAGCGAAAGACTTGCCGAGCGGAAATCGAATTCGTATAATAAAAACTAATGCCCAACATAAAGTTCTGATTAGAGCCACAGAATAGACCAAAAAACAAAAGTAAAAAAAAGACGAAACGTTACAATAAATTTAATTTTACAATTTGTTCTTTGGTCTATTTCTATGGCTCTAATCAGAACATGATGTTGGGCATTAATTTTTATTACACGAACTCCATGATTAACTTAGAAACCTTCAGGTCGTAGCCAGAGATGGATTTATCTTCGGGATTATATGTTAGTTTTTTGTATGGTTCATTAATTTCTTCCTTTTCCAATGCTGCATGGTGCTCGGATTTCTATTATTTTAGAACGTTTTCATTTATCATCGTAAGTGGTTACTCTATGCTTCACAGGTTTCTTACGATATATGTAAGTAGCAAGTATCGTGCTTCCGTCAAGGAAAATAAAAAACAAGAAACTTGGCATTACGATTCTCGTCTTTGATTTGGAATGATTTTCATAATTTACCTTTGCTATCACAAAATGCCACTGTGAGACCGTTGCTTCCAAAAACCTCGTAAAAGGCAAAAACAATAACATCCTTTGGTAATTTGGCCATGAATAATTTTGCAGTATCAGGCAAGTTTCCAAGAACATCCAAAGTAAACTGATGATCAACTTTATACTCTTCTGAGTTGTTGACTCTATCTCTTTCCATCTTGTAAACTGTTAACAAATAATTGATATTTTTTCCCAAAATAACGTACACTAGTTCATTCTTGCTCATTGTTACACGTTGTACTTCGGACGACTTTACTTGATCGAGTGTATTCGAACCTTTTTCGTTTGTGGAAATGCTTCGTGAGTAGGCTGCACCTGTTCGTGAGGTAATGGTTCGAAGACTGAAATTTTCAAAGGCAACTTGTTCCCCTTCTGAGTTTAAACAGGTGCGTTTCTTGAACTTCAAAATATTGAATGAACCAGAATCGTAGAATCTTCATTAACGTCCACGGTATCGCATGGTGGAGTTACATAGCCAATTTCATCTATATATCTCTATGATGCATTGGATGAATTATTTGCTCATCACAGCTGATCACTGGCCAATCAAAAACAGCCATTTTATAATTTATGTATTTTGAAATTAAATTAGCCTAGACTAGGTTAATTGTGAGTACAGTTTTGACAACACTGCATATCTCGCCAATTTGAGTAAAACTTTGATTTTAATGAATTCTTCATTACAATGGAGAATGATTTCTTAACTTCTGGCAAGGAGTTTAGCTCAGCAAGAGGTTGCATGAAGTCACATCTTGCTTGTTCGATGTCATCTAAACCATGTAAAATGGCGTTGGCAATGTGGACCTTGCTTGCTATTGTTTTTTCTTCTGGTGTTAGAACAGTGGTATGGAAAGCTCTTCGGGCTTCGCTTCCTGCTTGCTCAAAGGATTTTTTGCAAGATTTATCCGTTGCAACGATTGTGTATCTGTAGTACTTTCTGCAAACATTTCGGTATATCTTGATGCGTCATCTACAGATTTTCCTTGTAAATCTTCTCCTCTTAAGTCAACAAAGATTTGTTGTTGTGACATGAATCCATTTTAAGATGGCTCTTCAAAACTGAGACATCGTCTTCGAACACCCTGCTTACAGCAACTTAGACTGCCAAGGAGATCATTTCTTGCTATGTTTTCAAGAGTTTTTAATTTGCTGTCAAGCGAACCAAGATAGGGTAGGACTGTTTATATATTAATATACTAAGAACGCCTGCTGCTATTAGTGCTTCCGCCATACCTATCACAACACTTTGGTTTGTGTCGTTTCTGCAGTCTTCCTTTTCGACGTGTATCAGTCAAATCGCCATTGAACCAATCTACAACGTTGTTTTTATTCCTTCTAAGAATTGTACTTGCATCATATACAATATTTCGTTATTTATAATTTTTCGTTCCCTTATTGCATTTATATTCAATATACAGATAAACGAGGTAAGATTTTTTCCACCATGATCTACTTTAATCCATTAACAAAATTTTCTTGCTTGATTAAATTCTAGCTGCAGAAATAATGTCTACAGTGGCTACTAAGCGTACTTTGAAACTTTGAAACTAAATAAAATATTACAGTTGCTTGTGTAGGAAAAAGTCTGCAAAGTCTCATGTTTATGCATTGATGTCAATCGAATGTATGGTGACCATATTCATATGTTCTGCTATTCCAGGCTGATTTCTTTTGATTGTAAAATTATTTTATAACGAAATTAGCCAGGCATAGTAAAATATATGAAAATGGCCTCCCCGATTCATGTTCGATTAATACCAATGTGTTAATATCAGTTAGTTGATTCTGGAATAATGGAAGGGTTATAGTCATTGAAAAACCGTTCAACATTTTGTAGACACGTAATCAAGAACAGTGAATTTAACGTAACAATACCAAATATTGTAGAGTGTAAACGACTACATAATGCTGATAAAAACATTTCTATTTGAGATACTACATTTAAATCTGCAACGCTGATATTTATTGATTATTTCCTTTAAAAGTCCTCTTTAATAAAATAGGTAAAATTTTCTCACGTAGAATGTTTGAAATTAAAAACTCCGAACATTTTGGCAGTAACTATGTTTAAGTATTCATTAAAAATCATGTGTATTCTGTTGCATATAACTTTAAGAAAAATGTAAATCACTCAATAAAAACACGAGAAATCGCAATCGAAGGACTCCATATTTAGAAATTTCGCAGGGAGAGTATGCCGAAGAAAGGCTCACGCCTTTGACGTTCGAGAATATGTGCCATGAAAAAAAAAACGTTCCTGTCTTGCTACGCCATTGAAATGTACATGATGCATTTGCTTGATTTGTCAAAAGTTTTTTTGTTGACCGCATTGACGACAAAAATTGGTTGCTACACTTGTTACATTTGCCACATTTGTTAGGCTTGCTACATTTGCTACACCAAACTTGCTACACTTGCTACATTTCCTACATTTGCCATATTTGTTATGCTTGCTACATTTGCTACGCCACACTCGCTACGTTTGCTAAATTTGTTACACTTACTACAATTCATACACTTACAGCAAGCCATACTTAATACTTACTGTAAACGTTCTTGTCTTTGGCAATAAAACATCAAGGTTAGGATAAGGTTTTTTGACACGTATGACACTCGGCCTCAAAAGCAGAAAATTAGGATTGTTATACAGAAAAATGTGCTCTCTATAAAGTGTTAGTTGTAGTTAGATTATGATCACGTGTAATATTTTAGAGGTGAATTTACATCATTGCTTCAATGTTGTGCTGTCAATATTATGTGTTAATTTAACTGGCAGATTCATGCTTTTCAACATGTTCATTCTTTTGGTCATTAGATACATGTTTTGACTTAATTGAACATGCGCCTTACCCGGATGTTAATGGCATTATATTGCTTTTAAGTTTTCGTGAGCTCTGTTTACTTCCGATTCAAAATTCAGTCATAAGAGAAAGAGCTCTTGAATTTACTCTCTGATATCAAGAATTTCCTTTTTATCGTCTTGTGGAAAGACTAACACGTGTGTTTTAAAGCACACATCCGTACACAGAATGAAGCTTCAAAATCTACTCCTAAATTCTCGAGGAGTGTATAGTCACTTCAATCATTGCTACACTTGGAATTTTTGGAAAGAATCATGCTGTAATTTGCGAAATGAGTTTGATATTGTCCACGGGTGCATTGCCAAAGTTTTTACAAAGGGGTTTGTATAAACAGTTAAAATAAACAGTCATGTTATAATGATCTAATAGCTTGCATTTACTCGTTACATATAGGAATGATCAAGCGTTTAAAATAACAAAATCATAAGCTTATATTGGAGGTGAATCATTTAAATAAGTGCTTTACAAATTGAAAGTATGGCCTGTTTAATACGTCGCATTTTACATGAGCCGAATGCATTCAAAACAAAAGATAATGAGGAATTTTATCTTCATTTTCGTCTCTTATGCATTTGGCCTATGAAGTGCTGAAGAATTATAAAGAAGGGGCAGAGCCCCCCTAACTTGACAAAAAATTCTAACAAGGGGAGCCGAGCCCTCCTGAGCCCCCTTTCCAATACACCCCTGATATTGTCCAGTGAGTCAACGACAGACTAGAGCTTTGAAAACATCTTACATAATCTTATGAATGTTTTATACAGTGCGGTGTTTGAAATTAAATGAAGATATGATCTTCGCACTTTGCTGGACAATTTAAGCAATCGTCTCAGGACCTAAAAAAATCAGGTGACTCAACGGGATTCAAACCCATGACCTCTGCGGTGCCGGTGCAGTGCTCTAACCAACAGAGCTATGAAGCCACACAGTGGTGAGCAGGTCAATATTGTTGGGCTCATGTTTTCTCGTGAAAGGAATGTCGTATGAATGTTTTATGCAGTGCGGTGTTTGAAATTAAATGAAGATATGATCTTCGCACTTTGATGGACAATTTAAGCAATCGTCTCAGGACCTGAAAAAATCAGGTGACTCAACGGGATTCGAACCCATGACCTCTGCGGTGCCGGTGCAGTGCTCTAACCAACAGAGCTATGAATGTCCTTTCACGAGACATTCCTTTCACGAGAAAACATGAGCCCAACAATATTGACCTGCTCACCACTGTGTGACTTCATAGCTCTGTTGGTTAGAGCACTGCACCGGCACCGCAGAGGTCATGGGTTCGAATCCCGTTGAGTCACCTGATTTTTTCAGGTCCTGAGGCGATTGCTTAAATTGTCCAGCAAAGTGCGAAGATCATATCTTCATTTAATTACATAATCTTACATAAAGTATAGCATAAGAATGTTGAAGAAAAGCGCGGGAAATTCGGCCATCTTTTATAATTGCTTATTGTTTGATAAAATAAAGCGCAATATAAAGGTTGGAAGTTGAACCTGACGAATTCTTTATATGTTTGCTGTGTGATGGCAAAAAATGAGTGCTTTGAAAATGTGATTTCTACTGAAAGTAAGTTCAAAATATCAATACTTTTAGTTCGCCAACAGACGGTTTGAGAACATTGTTTCATTTATTTATAGATACTGATTTGGATGAACATGTCGACCAAACTCACTCAGGCTCGCACTCAGGTATGCGTTCATTTTTTGTTCTGCATGTTTAAGTTCACTTGTACAATAGAAAACTTTGAATTCTTAGATGTTGAGAAAGTTCCTATTTTAAAAAATATGTTTCTCATGAAGTCTAAGATTGGTGAAGGTAAAATGTCATTACTCTTATATTAATCTCAAAAATATCAATTCTAGCATGCACTGTGAAGCAGCTTATGGAAGTCTATTGGTGATTGTTTCTTTATAAAGTCCAGCAGTAATATAATGCATTGTAGTAATCATAAATCTTTATACATTAATAGGTACATTTAGCAATGTTTACCAGGCTCATCTTGTTGAACATCCAGATGAATTGTTTGCCTTGAAGCACATCATACCTACAAGTTCACCAGATCGTGTTGAAAGAGAAATACGATGTCTACAGGAAATGGGGTAAGTTCTTACATGCTTTGCAAGTTGCAAGACTTTGGCTATCTGATTTTTTTGTAAACTTAAAACAGGAAGACATGATCCAAACTATCTTAGTGTTCATTTTCCCATGATTAACTTTGTCAACATCAGATGGCTATTTATGCTTGCGAAAGGGAATTGGAAGCTGCATTTAGCAATTGTGAAAATTGACTTTTTGATACGAATTTGTCACACACGTTTGAACATTATATTTTTCAGATATAAATCTCTTTCAGCCCATTACTCATTCTATTTGTTTTTGCTAAATGCAAATTTCACCTTGTATAATGTTGTCTTCACAAAAATGTTCTTTTTGTTGTTCACATATCAAGTGTACTTTTACGAATTTTCATGCAAGCTTAACAACATTGGGCATCTGTAAGTTTCTTATAGTCTTGGTTTCAATAAAGCCAACAGTATTTAACATCTACCATATCCCTTTTTGTAACATAAGTCAAAGTCTTATGAACTGTAAAATTTTTATGTCTGTGTGCACGGTTTGATGTATGTACATTGAAAGGATAAAAATATGCTGAATGACATATTAATGAAGTTTGCTTTTTTTTTGCCAGTGGAAAGAATAATGTGATCGGCTACAAAGGAGCTGTACGACACTATGATCATACTGTCATCATGTTATCATATTTTCCTCATGATAGATTTCAGGTATATGCTTTGCAGCATGTGAGAATCGTTGAATGCAAAATATTTTGTTCTATGAAAGTTTAGCTAACATTTGATTGAAAAGGTTATGTCAATATGATAGTTTGCACTTTTATTAAAAACTATAGCTTTGAGTCAAAGTTTGTTTATTGATTTTTTATAGACCTACTTTCTTGAGATGACCACATCAGACATAAAAGACTACATGAAGAATCTTTTCATTGCTCTGAAACATATTCACAGTTTTGATATAATTCATCGAGATATTAAACCTGGTAATTTTCTACATTCACGACAATCTGGAAGGTATAGATTTCACATTTTTAAAAATCTTGTGGATTATTTATAATTTTTTCCCACCAAAATAAGCTATAGTTTTGTATATTTCTTACAGATATAATCTTGTTGATTTTGGTTTGGCAATGCATGAATCTCAGTCTAAAAAATCATGGCAGATAGAAAAGAAAAATGGTAATTTGGACTTGATGCTCACCATCTTTATTATTGGAGGGGGAAGCAATATTCATACATCTATATGTAAAAAAAATGATTTCTTAGAGACGTAACACGGGAAAAAACATGATTCACGATTTTTCAATTTTTTCCTTAGATAAATACAATCCATATCCAACAGACAAAACTACAAGACCTTCGTCACCAAAAAGGGCGAAGAGAAACGGCCAACCAACGAGAAAGGGACGAACAAGTCCAAGATTTATGAAGATCTCGCACAAACTTAATTCGCGTTCTCATGTTTTCGTTCCTAAAACGAAAGCAAAATGTACGAAGTTGAAAGACATCACGTTCGTTGCGTCCAACAAACACGCAAAATCAAACCTAAACCACGAAACGAGGAAAATTTCTTATAAACTTCCCGTAGGACTGTGTCAGACTAAACACAAATCTTATGAAATATGTTCTTTGTGTAGTAAAAGGTTTGTGGATTTTGTATCAATTTGTGAGCTGAATGTTTATTTACACGAATGTAAGTGTGTGGAATTTTGGTGCAGCTTAACGTATCGTTAATGTTAACGTTTCTAGAGCAGTACAAAACGCTCCTCGAGCTGGTACATCTGGATTTCGGGCTCCAGAGGTCTTGTTGAAACATCCGGAGCAGACTACAGGTATTTTAAGGAGTTTCATTTTATAAAATTACATCTGTATACTTACCTTGTACAGCCCCTGTTGTTAAATTGGCATGATCGTGTTTGAGAGGTTTCACTCGTAAAATTTATGGAAAGTGTAACACTGCATCCATCAAATTTTTTGTCATGTAGAAATGTTTATGGAAAGCTTACTGTATTGTACATAATTCAAACGAAACTCGCGCAGAACCATTAACATACTTAGGCCCTGTTCACACGATACCGGATTCGTTTGATACCGGATTACTTTTCGTACCGGATAGGCCTTGCGTTCACACGGCTCCGCTGCTATCCGATACGCTTTGTATCGTTTTTCCGGAGCGATTTGACTCCGCCGTGGAAGTGGTATGAAAACCAATCCGATACGTTCCGTTGTCGTGTGACCGCTCGAATCCGATACGTTCTACTTTGGCAACTAAGAAGTCCGTGCGATTTTTCAAAAATGAGAGCAAACATAGCGATACAAACTATGTTTTAAATGAATAATCCGCCAGCAAATATAATATATCTTCAACATGGCATGTTTAAGCTTTTAACAATGTATTATCGCAGTGTGAAAAGCTTCTTTCTAGTATTATTGTAATGGCAACATATATTCGGTCGTATTTGGACTTTACACTCTTCCAGTCCTTGCGCCCATTCGTAAAAAACCTTAATACGCCTAAGAAAAAACTCTACTTAGTTATCTGTCAAAAAAATTCTCATTTTCTTACGAAATATTTGAATTAGCAACCATCGTCGTTATCGCTTGCACGCACAAGTACTGGGGCGATATAAAAACTTGTGTATCGTCTTACGAATCCGGCATCGTGTGAACAGAGTGCATTTTTCGTATCGGATTGCTCAGCGAATCCGGTACAAGACGAATCCGGTATCGTGTGAACAGGGCCTTAGTTTAACATGTAATCACATATATAATACAATTACAATATTGGTCATGTTTTTCTGTTAGCCACCATACACAATATGTGGTATACTTTAGATAAGTTCACAACAGTTTGTGCTCCAGGAAATTTACAGTTCTCGTTGTTTATTTAGCTGTCGATATGTGGTCAGCTGGAGTAATACTGCTATGTCTTTTGACTGGAAAGTATCCTTTCTTTCGCTGTGCAGATGATATGACTGCTTTGGCTCAGATAATGACCGTCTTTGGTAAGCAACGTGTTGTTGAAAGTGCGAAATTCCTGGGTAAGTTTATACAAGTGATATAAGTTTGTGCTGGCGTATGTGCTTCTGGCTTTTTTTCCCTTATTTTCTTTCGAAAAAAATTATATTCGAACTGTATGGTTCTTGATCCGCAATACAAATTAGTTGAAATCTTTGGAAAGATCTTTTCTGCCATGATGATACAACATATTTTCAACATTCTTCTATGTATGTATGAAAAAAGCATTACCACAGTTGCTTTCACTCTCTCTGCTCAAAATTAATAAACTTGGGCTTCTTATGAATTGCTGAAAAAATTTTTAAGCTTATCATATTACTTGGTGAATTTTATTTTCCATTGTAAGAGCAAGAAATTGCAAATCTTTTTTCTTAACGATGACAGAACATATACATAACTCAGTAAAATTCCAATCTAATCAGGTAAATACATGGTTAGCAACTACACGTGCCCTGGTTATGAACTAAAGGAACTTGCACAAAGATTACGAGCATCAAATATGGAGGAAGAGCGACCTATGAACTGCTGTAAATCCTGCAAAGCAGGTTCAACTGCAGAGCAAGCGTTTACCTCTACAACGGATAAAGCAAATATCAACGGATTGGATGAAGAAGAAACGTTTTGTGTTACATTGAATAATTGCAGATGTAGCCACGATGTAAATGATCATGCAACTGGCAGAAGAAAATTAGATGTAAAAATGAATAAGAAATAACGTACATGCATTCAAAGTAAATGCATCGATGATTCTGACTCAAGAGTTGGAGTTCTCAATGATAAAGATGAAGATCGTATAATGTCGGAAAGTGGACGGTCCTTTTCGAAAGAGACGACTGAACGCGAAGGAGGAAAACTTTCCGTGAAAGAACATCTTGATGGAAGCCCATGTTTTTGTGTTTGTGGTTTATGTAAGAATTACGTTCCTCTGACCGTGTATCATCTTCTTGAAAGGTGTCTGGATTTAAATCCAACAACAAGAATAACTGCAAGCGAAGCTCTTAGTCATCCTTTCATTTGCGAAAACATCAACTCTTTAGAGTGTGCCAAGTTATATTTTATAGTTTATTTTTACGCTCTGATCAAGATCCGAACTTGCGCAGAACCATTAACGCTTTTAGTTTAACATGTCATCGCTTATATAATACAATTACAATATTGGTCATGTTTGGCTGTTAGCTACCATACATAATTAATGGTATACTTTAGATGAGTACACTACAGTTTGTGCTCCAGGAAATTTACATTTCACGTTGTTTATTAAGCTGTCGATATGTGGTCAGCTGGAGTGATATTGTTATGTCTTTTGACTGGAAAGTATCCTTTCTTTCGCTGTGCAGATGATATGACTGCTTTGGCTCAGATAATGACCGTCTTTGGTAAGCAACCTTTTGCGAAGAGTTGGCCTCGTGTGTTGTTTGTCGTGATGTTGTTTATATGTTTATGCTTTTGCTATTTCTATTCAAATTTATATTGGCCGTGTATCTTTGGCACTCAGGGGAATAAAACTGACGTACAAACCGCGTGAATATTCGACTTTAAAGGACTGAAACGGACGTACAAACCGCGCAAGAGACTAGGACTTTGGCTTCAATTTTATATCTATAAAATGTATTGTCGTTATCATTCCAATATATATATATATGTTTAGGGCAGTGGCTAGACTTAGCTTGGAGCCGGTCTAGAATGGAGCCGTAAGGCGCCTCCTTCCCTCCACTAGCCTTTGGTGTGCACCTTAGGCAAGTGCTAGTACACCCTTTGCCTCCCTTGCCAGGGTCACGGCTGGGCAGATGAGCTACTAGAGTGCTAGCATTGGCAGTTCTGATAGTCAAATCGGCTTCAGTTTCGGCAAAATGCAACGAGCTTCTCTGTGGTCACCGGCCAGGGCGGAAGGGCTCCACAACGAGCTCAGCGGCCATTATGTCCTTGTGCCTCCGAGGTAGGTTTTTGAGCCAGAGGCTAGGACAAGGACAGTCTGATGTAAAACCTATGACCCGTGGATCGCGCTGTCACCGTCCCAGCTCGCTGGACCATGACAGATGAACCCAGGTGTAAAGGGTGGGGACAGTACTGCGCACACTGCACTTCACTTTAAAATTCATCTGCGCAGGCTCGAAGGATACGTTCACGTCTGCGACGCCTTCAAATCTATGCAGTCCTGTAGCGATGGGAAAGGTGCGAAACCGGAAGGTGAAAGATGCCACTGGAAGCCGCAGTCTCAATCCTGCATGCAGGCGGTTTGAGATATTGGTCGCCTGATGTTGACCCGAGATGACAACATCACTCGGCAGCACCTTGAACGACCAAGAAGCCCTTTTTAGGGACAGCACTGCTTGCTCCACAAGGAGAGGGGCCTAGAATAGGTGGCCTAACCAAAGCTCGTCTCTATTCCCCCCAGTTGGCTTGCCGTGGTCAACGGGCATCTTTACTAGCGGTCGAACAACAACAAAGAAAGGAAGGTATGCACCCACCGGTATGGGTGCAAAAGCACTGAAACTGGCATGTTGGAACATCACAACCATGCTTGACAAAGCTGACAGCAACAGACCTGAACGTCGCTCTGCTTTGATTGCACATGAACTGTCCAGGCTAGATGTCGACATTGCTGCCCTCAGCGAAGTTCGCTTCCAAGAAGAAGGCAGCCTTCAGGAGCATGGCGCCGGATATACCCTCTTCTGGTCAGGAAAACCTACAACAGAAAGGCGTCTCGCAGGCGTCAGCTTCATGGTTAGAACCTCCATCACTTCCAAGTTGGAAAACCTGCCAACTGGTTATTCTGACCGCATCATGTCCATGCGCCTCCCTCTGAACAACGAAAAGTATGCCACGCTCTTCAGTGTGTATGCCCCAACTCTTCAAGCTGTGCCTGCAGAAAAAGACAAGTTCTACTCAGAGCTCCGCAGAGTTCTTCGAAGCACCTCCGTAGTCGATAAGAGGATAATCCTTGGCGACTTCAACGCCAGAGTGGGACAAGACGCTGTTGCCTGAAAAGGAGTGCTTGGCAGACATGGCGTTGGTAACTGGAATGACAACGGGCGCTTGCTGCTGGAGTTTTGCATGGAGCAGCAACTTGTCATCACCAACACCATCTTCCAACAAAAGGGCAGTTTGATAACAACCTGGATGCATCCTCAGTCCAAACACTGGCACCTTATTGACTACGTTCTAGTGCGCCAACGAGACCTCCAAGACGTCTTACATACCAGAGTGATGCCCAGCGCAGAATGTCACACTGACCATCGCCTCGTGCGCTGCAAACTCAGACTTTACTTCAAACCTAAACCAAGAAAGGGAGGGCCCCCAAAGAAAATGTTGAAGCTCAGTAGGCTACAATCAGCTGTAGTGAGGGCTGACTTCCAGACGTGCTTGCAGCTCAAGCTTGAAAACGACGGCTGCCCAGAAGATACCTCACCTGATTCACTTTGGCTTCATTTGAAAAGAGCCATACTGCAGAAATCAGAAGAAGTCCTGCGGTTCACCACTAAAAATAACAAAGACTGGTTTGAAGAACACAACAAGGAGATCCTGGAATTGCTGGCTAAGAAGAGATCCGCCCACCAGGCTCACCTGGCTCAGCCGTCCTGTCCCGTGAGGAAAGCTGCCTTCCCTACACTTGCAGCAATCTACAGCGCAAGCTTTGAGAGATTAAGAAAGAGTGGTGGATCAACCTCGCAGTGGCTTCTCTCAAGCAATGGTGGATCAACCTACAGAGGCTTCTACGACGCCTTTAAGTCAGTGTACGGCCCTACGCACCACGACCAGAGTCCTTTGCCAGTGCGGATGGTGAGGCGCTCCTCACAGACAGGACGTCTATCCTGAGTCGCTGGTCCGAGCACTTCCACGCCCTCTTCAGCGCTGATCGAGTCGTTCAGGACTCAGCAATCCTTCGAATCCCTCAGCTCCCAGCTATAGTGGAACTGGACGAACCACCCTCTATGAAAGAACTCACAGAAGCCATAGAGAAGATAAAGAGTGGCAAGGCAGCAGGAGCTGATGGTATCCCACCAGAAATCTGGACTGGAAAGATAGAGGCCCAGCGTTGCACAGAAAGCTCCACGAACTCCTCGTCTTTTGTTGGGAACAAGGAAAGCTTCCAAGAGACCTCCGTAATGCAGTCATCGTTACCTTGTACAAAAACAAGGGGGAAAGTCAGTCTGCTCCAAGTACCGGGGGATCACTCTGCTTTCGATCGCAGCAAAAATCCTTGCTCGTGTGCTCCTGAACAGGCTAATACCTACCATCGCAAAAGACCACCTCCCAGAAAACCAATGTGGCTTCAGAGCAAACAGGGGTACCACAGACATGGTCTTCGTCCTCAGGCAATTCCAAGAGAAGTGCCGGGAGCAGAACAAAGGACTCTATGTAACGTTTGTGAACCTGTCGAAGGCCTTCGACACAGTGAACAGGAAGGGATTTTGGCTCATTATGGAGCACCTCGGCTGCCCCCCAAAGTTCCTCAGTATGATCATCGAGCTGCATGAAGACCGGAGCGGCCAAGTCAGGTTGAACAGCACCCTCTCAGAACCCTTCCCCATCGTAAACGGCGTGAAACAGGGTTGTGTCTTGGCTCCGACTCTGTTCATCATCTTCTTCAGCATGATGCTTAGGCAAGCCACAGAAGACCTTGACGAAGTCCCAGCTACGTTGGGCAGGGCACGTTTCCAGAATGGATGATCAGCGCCTGCCCAAAATTGCCTTGTATGGCGAACTTTCCACAGGCCACCGTGGCAGAGGGGCACCTAAGAAACGCTACAAAGACTCTCTGAAGAAGTCCCTAGGAGCCTGCCATATCGACCACCGCCAGTGGTCTATTCTTGCTGCTGACCGTGATGCCTGGCGTCGTACTGTCCACCCGGCTGTCTCCTCCTTTGAGGACTCTCGTACAGAGAACTTGAGGGAGAAACGCCGCAGGAGGAAGAACTGGGAAGCTTCAGCAGCTGTACCTGACGTGACCTTTGACTGTAGCCGCTGCGGCCGAACCTGTTTGTCTCGCATCGGACTTGTCAGCCACGAACGTGGCTGTAGTTGACGTGGACAGCCCCCTTCATAAAATCTTCGTTCGCGAAGCCAAGCCAAGAGAGAGAGATATATATATGTGGAGTTCACTAGCCTGGACTCAGTTGTCAAAAACATGGCGATGTTGGCGACTTTTCGCATCGAACTTAACACAACCATTGAGTTCTGTAATAACTGGAGCGGCTAACTGTAATGGGGCGAAGACGACAAAAAAATGGTAGCAAACAGATGTATTTCCGTTGAAATGATTGCTTTGCAGAAAAATTATAACAAGGTTAAATAGTTGGAATGTAATTAAACAAAAAGAATGATAGCACAACGCTATAACCAACAACTACAAACAATAACGACTTTAAATTAACCTTCCACTCCTCTTCTTTATAAACGAGACAGGTCTACTCAAAAGCAGCGAGCCTTGTACGCTACAAGTCCAGGGGCTTGTGACCGGTATAGCAGAGTTAAAAGGTGAAAGGTTTATCATAGATTAATCAACTGAATATTCCTGCTCATTTTTGTTTGGAAGCATGTTGAACAGTTCATATGGTGTAGTGATTATTACATGAAGTCATGAAGTACATCCACCTTAGTAACCGCGCCTAGTTTAAGATAATTACTTATAAAGAGACATTTTGTAGATTTTAATTTAGTGTTGAGTAAAGCCTTATTTCGAAAGGTTGTTCTTTGGTGTTTACTTGAATTTAAACTTCTACTTCAATTTACTCAACACTACTCCTTATACCTATGGATAAAGTTTTGAGACCTGAACGGTTTGATGTTATTCCGAACTCGCAAGGCGCTGCAAAACGTTGGACGCACTGGCTCGCGACATTTGAGAACTTCATCGATGCAATACCGTCCATTCCTGATACGCGAATAAATAAACTACACATTCTGGTGAATTATGTCACCTCTGATGTTTATCAACTGTTCTGTGATACTGAAACCTACGACGAAGCCATCACCACGCTGAAAACCTTATATGTCAAGCCTCCGAACGAGATTTTTGCTCGGCATAAATTAGCAACACGAAAACAACAAGCGGGCGAAACCCTTGACGAATACCTACAAGAACTGAAACACCTAAGTAAAGACTGCAACTTTCGTCAAGTCTCTGCTGTTCAATATCGGGATGAAGCAATTCGGGATGCTTTCATTAGTGGTCTATTGTCGGGAAGCATTCGACAACGTTTACTGGAGAATAAACAGTTGGATTTACAAACGGCATTCGATCAAGCTCGAGCTTGGGATTTGGCACAAAAATCATCGGAGACATACAATTCGAATCCCTTCACAAGCGCTGTTGTTACGGCATCTAACGGACATGACGAAAATAATGAAGAAGGACTAAGCGAGAGATATTTAGCCTCCACTTCCTACTTCATATGGACAAAGCTTGAATTCCATATTAAATATCAGTAACATAATCCGGTGTTGATGTTGGACAACACATCATTGCCCTTCAGTGGAAAGCGGATGCTTATAACAATCTATGTTTAATATCGATATTAGATTCATTCTTTTTCAGTGAAAAGCGGGATGCTTTCACTGTAATGAGAACAGCTTCGTTTTTTTATAAAACCCTTAATGTTATTATTTTGAACTACATGCACAATTTCCTTCTTCTTATCGATTCTTTCACGAAGCTCTCTATTAGCCTCATTCAAATTCAAGGCAAAGCTCTCCAACTGATCTCCACCAAAGTGCTTGATATGACGCCCATCACCGACAAGAATTTTAACAATATCCACTTCGCTATCAAATTGACCAAACACGCCATCTTGAAAAGAAGGAAATTGAACTTCCTTTTCACTACTTGGCTGTTTGTAAAAATATTCAATTCGTTCATTTAGGTGTTCCACTGCAACACGAATTGCCAAAAAATTTTCTTCTATACTTAAAGCAAACAGATCATCAACGCCTAGAGCAACGTGGGCGCATGTCAAGGCGAAAAAATCATCATTCTTGCGATAGAACATTGTCAATGTACCATGAGAACCTCTGGCATTTTGGTTTTCATCCTCAATATCATTCAAAACATGTATGAAATTTGATGATTCATCTATTCTTACAGCACGAAAATTTGATAAATATCGAATCTTTGGTTCTTTGTAAAGTTTACGTCGAAATTCGATAAATTTTGATGCCGCCATTTAAAAATTTCGTCGATTTCTTTCTTCAAATCTTCGTCTGACTTTTGTACATCGCCATCGACTGTGATGAGCATATGGGAATATGGTATAGCCCGGTTTTCACCAATTGGTTCATAATCACCACATATCCATGGCAACCTTAAATATGATGTACTTTTTCAATTGACGACATTATTTTCATATTAGAAACATATTTATAATGTACGTAGGGTATGTAATGTCAAAGTAATCAAAAAATTTTAATTGGTCTAATCGTGATAAAACTGGAAAATCAGCATGCGAAATTGATCTTAAAAAGAAGCCAAAACTTATTCAACAAGAGCAAGTAAAACAGTACAACAATAGTTATCTTAACGGAAAATTATTCCCTTTACGACATTCATGCTTTTTTGTTTGTTCAATTGCATATTTAAATTATATATCTTATCAAAATTATAATGTCGTAATTCCTAACGCATTTATATTACGTTAAGAAGACAAAAATTGTTGTTGATCTTTGTACACGCAGATGAAGCATGTAAGGTTATTACTTTGACAATCATGATGATTGAAAATTTTGTCCATTTTGTTTGACTGTTTGAAGTTATATTGAAAAGTTTCCCTCACAAACACTCACAAAAGACCATGCATCGGCAAAATATATAAAATAAGACAAGCAATGGTGGTTATAAACTGCAACCAACGTTTTTTCATGATGAGAATACTTTGTATTTTCTCAAGAAGAAAGAAGAAAATTTTGCCCCAATTTTGCAAACCTTTAGAGTCTTGTGTTATTGACACAAGACCTTAGGACCTTAAAGAAACCCTTATTTTTTTATGTGTTGAACTTAACATCCATTGAAATTTAAAATATTTCATGCCTGGTATCAAGGACCTTTGGAGAAAATTTTGCTCTGGATCCCAAAGTTTTTCTCAGTGGCCTTGTTTATGTCATTACATTTACCATAGAAAATGAATAAAATACCTCTCGAGTAGATCGTGCACTTCATCTCCAATGTTGTAATCTTTATCAAGAAATTTGTTTTCGAAAATATCTTCCATATTTGCCACTTCTTTACAATCAACATCTACAAGGATATGTCAGATTTTAAACTACACGCTTGGTCTTTATGTAAAATTACAGTGAAACCACCGTGATCATGATGTCAATTGATAAAATGACATGATGTCAATTGATAAAATAATCTGCACTGAATGCATATAAGAAAAACTTATTTACATACCAAAAAAAATATTATTTAGTGCCCCTTCTTGTGTCTTCTCCGGCAGATTCTTCTTTATCTATAGATAAATGGTTTGTGGAGTTATTTATATATTCATACATATTCCACTTTATTAGTTTCTTTTGAAATCAATTCTGATCACGGATTGATTAGATATACGAGCAAATGAATATGAGCCCTCCCCCCTAAATTATTGATCTTCCGCGGTCTCTGTTGGAACTTCATAACTAATATCGTTCTTATGAAAGTATTTTGATGTGACAGTTTAGCCGCAGCTGCTAGAGTTTTTTTTTTCATATATTTAATTATTTTTGGCCCTATTGATTTCATGCTGATCAGTTAACTTTTTTACTGATTTTCAACTTTGTTTCAGGTTTTAAATGTTTGATGTATAGAGCTTTCATTTTGGAATTTTCAACTAGTTCTAAGTCGATAGATTTTGAATGTTATAGTTTCAGAATATTTCCAATACACCATGCACTGACCAATATACCTAGTTATAGAAAATATTATTCGTTGAAAAGCGTAATATTTTGTCTTTATTCTCAAGATATCATCAGACAATCTCAAATTGGAAGGTGTAAAATATTAAGTGTTAGTTATAAGTATTTGCAGCATGTGCTGTTTTATACAAAAGACATAAGTAATAACTTACTGCAGTCACCAATAACTTCAATCATTCTCTTGGTGCCTTTCCCTTCACAAACTCGCAAAGAGAATACGTCTAAGCCTGAGACCCTATATGGATGCGTACTTAAGCTGCTTGAGATCCTTTTTAGTTGCCTTTTTGCTTTTTAAACATCTATCCAGGTTGCCAAGGTTATTACATATTCTGCTTGTAAGTATATAAGCTTGTGAGAGGAAAGACATGCTCTAGGAAAATGATTGAAATTACTTGTAACAGAGGTAAGTTACATCTCACGTAAATCAGCAAAACCTAATCCATTTAATGTTTTCAGAAACACTGACCTAATATTTAAAGCATATTGAATTACTTGGCTGAATAAAAGCAATATATAGTAAGCAGACTAAATGCTTTTAAGCTATTTCATGCAAAATGGGAGCAATGGTTCATCTGGATCCACACAATTACAAGACAAACAAGTCAAGCTGGGTTGCTTGATACCTCATCATAATTTTCTTCATGATCAGCTGAATTACTCGGAATGTCTGGATTCACATCCTTGTTGATGGTTCTGATGTTGTTGGAAGTGACACAAGAATGTGTTGTTAAAGCTGATGACCCCTATTAATAGATGAAGCCTGAAATTTTACTTCTGGTGAAATTTTACTTCTACTTTTATAACGACACAATCAAAGCACATGGCAGAAAAAATATTATCAACAAACCAATAACAAACCAAGTATTTTGAACCATTTTATGAAGAAAACCTGTAAGGCTTCAATTTACCTTTTGAGTAACGACATTCCAAATACACGTAAGCTTCTTGCGAAGTTTTATTCGAGGAATCATCTGATAAATATCATGTGGTTCTAAATTGAAAAAATCCTCGCCGTCGACTTGATTAGCTATAAAAGCAAAACGTCAATGAAATTACGTTATTGCTGTTGGTATTTTCTAAAAGCGCTCGACCAAATCTGCCTGCTAGCAAAACGTAAACAAGGCAAGTCATCTATAAATCTAATTTTGAATTATTTTCTACACTAGATTTATGCACGAGACAACAACCCTTACACATGCGACCTACATTTCAGGATGAGACAATACCTTCAAAATCTTCGACAATTTGATTCATTTTGTTGTTTTTCTAAAAAAGAATAATGTCAGCGACAGATGATTGTTTGTTGATTTCCATTTTGCCCACAATAGAAGAGTTTAAACGCTCATCATCATCATATCTTTTCGCGCCAGGGCGATCCAAACTCGGGCTGAAGTTTAGAAGTGTTGCGCGTGTTGTAGCAATCAGTCGAAATCAAGGACGGCACGTGAAGCCTTGCTACTTGTCACCGTTTAAACGCTTAAAATGCACTTCAACAAAGCTCAAGAAGTTTAGAAACACGCCACGCGACTACATACATCAGCAACAGGCAGTCAGGCATGGTTTTGTAGCACCTCAAGATGGTGACCGGAAGTTGATCGGAAAGTCCAGATTTACCTATGGATACTTCTCTAATTTTAGCAGGATGACTACAATAAATATGGTTTAAGCACGCATCAGAGGCAGGTCTTGTTACTCTATTTACCATCTGCGTTAATCCAAGATTGTTCAGTGCCTTTGCGAGAAAATGTTTTGAATAACAGTTGAAATCAATATAATCTAAATTGAAGTCTCCCAGAATAATCAATTTATTGTGTTGGAGATGGGCATTTTCAATATTTTTACCCAAGCTCTCATTATAATCTTTGTTGGCTGAAGGTGGACGGTAAACACCAGATATCAAAATCGGTGTCTTTGATTTATGAGGACAAATTTGAAGGCAGTGAGTTTCAAGATCATCCAGTTCCAAATCTCTTCGATGTGAAGCTATAACTTTCTCATTTAAATACGCAATTATGCCGCCACCTTTCTTCCCGATTCGATCTTTTCTGTGTAATGTGTAGCCTGGTATCATGTAAAAGCTGTCTGGAATTTTACTTGATCCGAACGTCGCAGTGAGAATTAAGACGTCGAGTTTGGCAGCACTGTTGTTGTTCGGGGTGAGCATTAGAGATAGTTTTTCCAATTTGGTGTCAGTCAGTCTTTGGATGTTCCAGTGGCAGACTGATAAACCTCTGAAGCCTACAAAAGGTTGAAGGTTATTAGGTCCTGGATTAACGGCAATATCGCCAGATGGAAGAATACACAGACAAGACTGTAGAGCGATCGAATTCAGGTGTAATTGAAGTAAATAGGCCAAGTAAAACGCTGATAATAGTCAATAGAAGCACGACTGCAAAAACATGTCTGCACGCCATGACTAATTTATGAATATGAAAGCTCTTCGGGCTTCGTTTCCTGCTTGCTCAAAGGATTTTTTGCAAGATTTATCCGTTGCAACGATTGTGTATCTGGAGTACTTTCTGCAAATATCTCGGTATATCTTGATGCGTCATCTACAAATTTTCCTTGTAAATCTTCCCCTCTTAAGTCAACAAAGCTTTGTTGTTGTGACAAGAATCCATTTCGAGATGGCTCTTCAAAACTGAGACATAGTCTTCAAACACCCTGCTTACAGCAACTTACACTGCCAAGGAGATCATTTCTTGCTATGTTTTCAAGTGTTTTTTATTTGCTGTCAAGCGAACCAAGATACGGTAGGACTGTTTATATATAAGTTAATATACTAAGAACGCCTGCTGCTACCTTTACTGCTATTGGTGCTTCCTACATATCTATCACAACACTTTGGTTTGTGTCGTTTCTGCAGTCTTCCTTTTCGACGTGTATCAGTCAAATCGCCATTGAACCAATCTACAACGTTGTTTTTGTTCCTTCTAAGAATTGTACTTGCATGATATTCAATATTTCGTTATTTATAATTTTTCGTTCCATTGTTGCATTTATATTCAATATAAAGATGAACGAGGTAAGATTTTTTCCACCATGATCTACTTTAATCCACTTAACAAATCTTCTTGCTTGATTAAAGTCTAGCTGCAGAAATAATGTCTACAGTGGCTACTAAGCGTACTTTGAAACTTTGAAACTAAATAAAATATTACAATTGCTTGTGTAGGAAAAAGTCTGCAAAGTCTCATGTTTATGCATTGACCTCAATCGAATGTATGGTGACCATATTCACATGTTCTGTTATTCCAGGCCTATTTCTTTTGATTGTAAAATTTTATAACGAAATTAGCCAGGCATAGTAAAATATATGAAAATGGCCTCCCCGATTCATGTTCGATTAATACCAATGTGTTAATATCAGTTAGTTGAATCAGAAATAATGGAAGGACTATAGTCATTGAAAATTCGTTCAACATTTCCTAGACACGGGACCAAGAACAGTGAATTAAACGTGACAATACTAAGAGTGTAGACGTCTTCATAATGCTGATAAAAACATTTCTATTTGAGATGCAACATTTAAATCAGCAACGCTGATATTTATTGATTATTTACTTTAAAAGTCCTCTTTAATAAAATAGGTAAAATTTTCTCAAGTAGAATGTTTGAAATTAAAAAATCCCAAACATTTTAGCAGTAGCTATGCATAAGTATTCATTGAAAATCATGTTTTTTCTGTTGCATATAACTTTAAGAAAAGTGTAAAATTACTCGCTAAAAACACGAAAAATCGCAATTGAAGGACTCCATGTTTAGAAATTTCACAGGGGGAGTATGCTGAAGAAAGGCTTACGCCTTTGACGTTCTAGAGTATGTGCCCGCAGAAAAACGTTCATGTCTTGCTACGCCACTGAGATGTACATGATGCATTTGCTTGATTTGTCAAAAGTTTTTTTGTTGACCGCATTGACGACAAAAATTGGTTGCTACACTTGTTAAATTTGCCACATTTGTTACTCTTGCTACATTTGCTACGCCACACTCGATACGTTTGCTAAATTTGTTACACTTACTACAATTCATTTACTTATTGCAATCCATACTTAATACTTACTGTAAACGTTCTTGTCTTTGGCAATAAAACATCAAGGTTAGGATAAGGTTTTTTGACACGTATGACACTCGGCCTCAAAAGCAGAAAATTAGGATTGTTATACAGAAGAATGTGTACTCTATAAAGTGTTATTTGTAGTTAGAACATGATCACGTCTAAAAGTCTAGAAGTGAATTTACATCATTGCTTCAATATTGTGCTGTCAATATTATGTGTTAATTTAACTGGCAGATTCATGCTTTTCAACATGTTCATTCTTTTGGTCATTAGATACATGTTTTCACTTAATTGAACATGCGCCTTACCCGGATGTTAATGGCCATTATATTGCATTTAAGTTTTCGTGAGCTCTGTTTACTTCCGATTCAAAATTCAGTCATAAGAGAAAGAGCTCTTGAATTTACTGTCTGATATCAAGAATTTTCTTTTTTATCGTCTTGTGGAAAGACTAACACGTGTGTTTTAAAGCACACATCCGTAAACTGAATGAAGCTTCAAAATCTACTCCTAACTTCTCGAGGAGTGTATAGTCACTTCAATCATTGCTAGATTTGGAAATTTTGGAAAGAATCATGCTGTAATTGGCGAAATGAGTTTGATATTGTCCACGGGTGCATTGCCAAAGTTTTTACAAAGGGGTTTGTATAAACAGTTAAAATAAACAGTCATGTTATAATGATCTAATAGCTTGCATTTACTCTTTACATATAGGAATGATCAAGCGTTTAAAATCACAAAATCATAAGCTTATATTGGAGGTGAGTCATTTAGTACGTCACATTTTACATGAGCCGAATGCATTCAAAACAAAAGATAATGAGGAATTTTATCTTCATTTTCGTCTCTTATGCATTTGGCCTATGAAGTGTTAAAAAATTATAAAGAAGGGGCAGAGCCCCCCTAACTTGACAAAAAATTCTAACAAGGGGAGCCGAGCCCTCCTGAGCCCTCTTTCCAATACACCCCTGATATTGTCCACTGAGTCAACGACAGACTAGAGCTTTGAAAATATCTTACATAATCTTACATAAAGTATAGCATAAGAATGTTGAAGAAAAGCGCGGGAAATTCGGCCATTTTTTATAGTTGCTTATTGTTTGATAAAATAAAGCGCAATATAAAGGTTGGAAGTAGAACCTGACGAATTCTTTATATGTTTGCAGTGTGATGGCAAAAAATGAGTGCTTTGAAAATGTGATTTCTACTGAAGGTAAGTTTCAAAATATCAATACTTTTAGTTCGCCAACGGACGATTTGAGGAACATTGTTTCATTTATTTATAGATACTGATTTGGATGAACATGTCGACCAAACTCACTCAGGCTCGCACTCAGGTATGCGTTCATTTTTTGTTCTGCATGTTTAAGTTCACTTGTACGATAGAAAACTTTAAATTTTTAGATGTTGAATTCGCCGAACTATTTGAGAAAGTTCCTATTTTAAAAAATATGTTCCTCATGAAGTCTAAGATTGGTGAAGGTAAAATGTCATTACTCTTATATTAATCTCAAAAATATCAATTCTAGCATGCCACTGTGAAACAGCTTATGAAAATCTATTGTTGATTGTTTCTTTAAAAAGTCCAGCAGTAATATAATGCATTGTAGTAATCATAAATCTATATACATTAATAGGTACATTTAGCAATGTTTACCAGGCTCATCTTGTTGAACATCCAGATGAATTGTTTGCCTTGAAGCACATCATACCTACAAGTTCACCAGATCGTGTTGAAAGAGAAATACGATGTCTTCAGGAAATGGGGTAAGTTCTTACATACTTTGCAAATTTAAGTTTTTTTGTAAACTTAAAACAGAAAGACATGATCCAAACTATCTTAGTGTTCATTTTCCCAATATTATTTTTGTAAACATCAGATGGCTATTTGTGCTTGCGAAAGGGAATTGGAAGTTGCATTTAGCAATTGTGTAGAATTGACGCTTTGATACGAATTTGCCACACAAGTTTAAACATTATATTTTTCAGATATAAAGTTCTTTCAGCCCATTGCTCATTCTATTTGTTTTTGCCTAATGCAAATTTCACCTTGTATAATGTTGTCTTCACAAAAATGTTCTTTTTGTTGTTCACATATCAAGTGTACTTTTATGAATTTTCATGCAAGGTTAACAACATTGGACATCTGTAAGTTTCTTATAGTCATGGTTCCAATAAAGCCAACAGTATGTAACATCTACCATATCCCTTTTTGTAACATAAGTCAAAGTCTTATGAACTGTAAAATTTTTATGTCTGTGTGCACGGTTTGATGTATGTACATTGAAAAGATAAAAATATGCTGAATGACATATTAATGAAGTTTGCTTTTTTTTGCCAGTGGAAAGAATAATGTGATTGGCTACAAAGGAGCTGTACGACACTATGATCATACTGTCATCATGTTACCATATTTTCCTCATGATAGATTTCAGGTATATGCTTTTGCAGCATGTGAGAATCGGTGAATGCAAAATATTTTTAAGCCATCTTTTGTTCTATGAAAGTTTAGCTAACTTTTGATTGAAAAGATTATGTCAATATGATAGTTTGCACTTTCATTAAAAACTATAGCTTCGAGTCAAAGTTTGTTTATGATTTTTTATAGACCTACTTTCTTGAGATGACCACATCTGACATAAAAGACTACATGAAGAATCTTTTCATTGCTCTGAAACATATTCACAGTTTTGATATAATTCATCGAGATATTAAACCTGGTAATTTTCTACATTCACGACAATCTGGAAGGTATAGATTTCACATTTTTAAAAATCTTGTAGATCATTTCGAAGTTTTTCCCATCAAACTAAGCTATAGTTTTGTATATTTCTTACAGATATAATCTTGTTGATTTTGGTTTGGCAATGCATGAATCTCAGTCTAAAAAATCATGGCAGATAGAGAGGAAAAATGGTAATTTGGACTTGATGCTCACCATCTTTATTGTTGGAGGGGGAAGCAATATTCATACATCTATAGATAAAAAAAAAGATTTCTTAGAGACATAACACAGGAAAAAACATGATTCACGATTTTTCAATTTTTTCCTTAGATAAATACAATCCATATCCAACAGACAAAACTACAGGACCTTCGTCACCAAAAAGGGCGAAGAGAAACGGCCAACCAACGAAGAAGCAACGAACAAGTCCAAGATTTATGAAGATCACGCACAAACTTAATTCGCGTTCTCATGTTTTCGTTCCTAAAACGAAAGCAAAATGTACGAAGTTGAAAGACATCACGTTCGTTGCGTCCAACAAACACGCAAAATCAAACCTTAACCACGAAACGATGAAAATTTCTCATAAACTTCCTGTAGGACTGTGTCAGACTAAACACAAATCTTATGAAATATGTTCTTTGTGTAGTAAAAGGTTTGTGGATTTTGTATCAGTTTGTGAGCTGAATGTTTATTTACACGAATGTAAGTGTTGGTGCAGCTTAACGTATCGTTAATGCTAACGTTTCTAGAGCAGTACAAAACGCTCCTCGAGCTGGTACATCTGGATTTCGGGCTCCAGAGGTCTTGTTGAAACATCCGGAGCAGACTACAGGTATTTTAATGAGTTGCGTTCTATTAAATTACATCTGCATACTTACCATGCACAGCCCCTGTTGTTAAATTGACATGATCGTGTTTGAGAGGTTTCACTCGTAAAATTTATGGAAAGTGTAACACTGCATCCATCAAATTCTTTGTCATGTAGAAATGTTTATGGAAAGCTTACTGTATTGTACCTAATTCAAACGAAACTTGCGCAGAACCATTAACACTTTTAGTTTAACATGTAATCGCTTATATAATACAATTACAATATTGGTCGTGTTTGGCTGTTAGCTACCATACATAGTCAATGGTATACTTTAGATGAGTACACTAAAGTTTGTGCTCCAGGAAATTTCCATTTCATGTTGTTTATTTAGCTGTCGATATGTGGTCAGCTGGAGTAATATTGTTATGTCTTTTGACTGGAAAGTATCCTTTCTTTCGCTGTGCAGATGATATGACTGCTTTGGCTCAGATAATGACCGTCTTTGGTAAGCAACGTGTTGCTGAAAGTGCGAAATTACTAGGTAAGTTTATACAAGTGATATAAGTTTGTGCTGGCGTATGTGTTTCTGGCTTTCTTGTCCCTTATTTTCTTTCGAAAAAAATTATATTATTCGAACTGTCTGGTTCTTGATCCGCAATACAAATTAGTTGAAATCTTTGGAAAGATCTTTTCTGCCATGATGATACAACATATTTTCAACATTCTTCTATGTATGTATGAAAAAATCATTACAACAGTTGCTTTCACTCTCTCAGCTCAAAATTAATAAACTTGGGCTTCTTATGAATTGCTGAAAAAATTTTTAAGCTTATCATATTGTTTGGTGAATCTTATTTTCCATTGTAAGAGCAAGAAAATGCAAACCTCTTTTCTTCACGATGACAGAACATACATAACTCTTTAAAATTCCATCTAATCAGGTAAATACATGGTGAGCAACTCCACTTGTCCTGGTTATGAACTAAAGGAACTTGCACAAAGATTACGAGCATCAAATATGGAGGAAGAGCGACCTATGAAGTGCTGTGAATCCTGCAAAGCAGGTTCAACTGAAGAGGAGGCGTTTACCTCTATAACGGATAAAACGAATATCGACGGATTGGATGAAGACGAAAAGTTTTGTGTTACATTGAATAATTGCACATGTAGCAACGATGTAAATGATCATGTAACTGGCAGAAGAAAATTATATGTAAAAATGAATGAGAAAAAACGTGCATGCATTCAAAGTAAATGCATCAATGATTCTGACTCAAGAGTTGGAGTTCCCAATGATAAAGATGAACATCGTATCATGTCGGAAAGTGGTCGGTCCTTTTCGAAAGAGACGACTAAACGTGAAGGAGGAAAACTTTCCGTGAAAGAACATCTTGATGGAAGCCCATGTTTATGTGTTTGTGGTTTATGTAAGAATTACGTACCTCTGACCGTGTATGATCTTCTTGAAAGGTGTCTGGATTTAAATCCAACAACAAGAATAACTGCAAGCGAAGCTCTTAGTTATCCTTTCATTTGCGAAAACATCAACTCTTTAGAGTGTGCCAAGTTATAGAAAAGTTGATAGTGAGAAGTTAATATGATGAATTGTTGAAGTTAAAATGTGTAAGCCTGTGTCTTGTTAGTTTAAACTGACTACTATTAAATATTAGCTAAATAAACTGTAAATTACACGGCAGATATTCAGGCATCTAGGAATTTTAAGTGCTTCATCTGTGTTTGTCATTTCTAATACAATGCCATATCTGTCTAGGATTGCTATATTTTTGTTCACACCATGAATAGAAGTCAGTATTTGAATTATAAAAATGCATTATTTTTGTATTAATTAACAGTTATAAACTTAGAACTAAATTCTCATTACTTCAATTAGATGCATCTCCGTAATCTTATAATGATAGCATATTAGTTTTTTCCATATCCAACATATTATATAGAAATTTATACTTTGGGTTGTGTTATCTTTAAATCTACGTCGTATTTGACAGTCCACATCATGACAAGATTTAGATTTTAAGAGGTTTGAAAGCATCAGAATTTTTGCTAAATTGTTAATATTAATCCTCTTGGAAACTGTGATATAAACAACTCTATAGCAGGTTGTCGTGGGACGTGATGTGGCCATTTTGTTTCGTCAAATTTTGGACACTTAAAAGAACGTCATCTCTTGCATGAGGTCAAATTAGTTTGCCTGCTAAATTTTCTCAGTATGTTTTAGAAAGAGTGCATTCTGACGACTTTCCCAGAAGGGAATGATCATCAAATAAATAGGTGAGTATAACTATGTCTTGTATAATTCTCATCTTCACCAAGTATTAAGATATCCACATTTTGTCGGTTAAATGAGCCCAGTTTCATTGCAAGAAACTGTTGTCGTAATATATTTCGGCAACATCCGGTCAACTTCATCCTACTCTAAGTTTACAGTGTTTTTTCAACCATTGTCTGCTGTCTTGCTAAGCCTTGCTTTCTTTTTCATGATTTCTGACGTAACAACGATTTGCCACCTGTTTTAACTATTTTATACATTCAACCAAAAGACAGCTTCGTCAGCGTTGGCATTTTTGGTCACCAGCGATACATCTTCGGGCTTAATCTTCTTTATTTCATCCACCATATAGGTCGGTAGAAGACATGGAACTGATTTATCTCTTGGCAATGTCCATTGGCCTGATTTTCATCTTTCAACATGGCAATTGTGCCCCAACGTCGAGTCCCATAACAGGTATGTTAGAGCTTTAGCGTGTTTTGCGTTACAAGATGCAGTATATGCGAAGAACAGGACACAATGTTGGAACATTTGTTGTACATTGTATTAAGTTTTATTCGTGGCCCTTTTTCCGGCAAACGTATTTTTTATTGAAGTCTTTCGACATTTTATTTTATTTTGAAATTCTCTGGGAAAATTTAGCCCCCCCCCCCCAAGCGTGATGCTTGACAATACGCTTGTGTTCATAATTCTTTTTGCGTGAACTATTAAAACATCAGTGGACTACCGCCAGCATAACTTATCGAAGCACTAAATATCATCAATAATTTTTTGAATCATTGTTTATGGCGCTGCTCTCTTGGATTGAATCATCCAAAATTGAAACATTATTGGATGCGTGGAACAAGTCTTTGAAGAATGAAATTTGTTTGGCTTTAAATCGCCTTCTGACATTCTTAAATTGCATTTGGAAAACTTTAGGGAATAACATTCTTATGCATTTACTATTGTTTCCTTAATTTACTGGTTTTCATAGGGTCATTGCGGAAATATGCTGCTTTTGCTACTATGTCAAATATTTTGTATTGGTTTTTACCGATTTGAATTCACCTTAACGTGAATTACATCCTGCTTTTTGTAAACAGTTTGAGTGTTTTAATACTGGAGCCTGCTGGTCAGGGACGAGACACTGGGAACTTTTGTGGGCCCCTGTAACATTATTTGTCCCTTACACAATGAATAGAAAATTGTTAAGTCAAGAAATTACTAAATGAACATGAGTTAATAATTCAAGCAACTTATGTAAAAGAGTTGTATACTCCTTATATTGTGTTTGTTTGAGTTTTAAACCTGCAATCATCTGTTTTAAACCGGCTCATCTGTTATTCTTTGTGGAGGTCCAGCACGCCCCTGTTGTAATTTTGTGATACCATATCAACCGAAAGTGCATACTGTACACACATGCCCTGCTCTGTGTGTATATGCCCTACACTGTACATATATTCCTTCGTTTTTGATTGGTCGATAAGGTTGCCGCCAATCGTTTTGTTCGTTCTAAATTTCCTGATATTGTAAGTGAAAGAAAGTTCATTAAATGAAAGGAAGTTGTTTGTTACATATTTCTTTTGATGGGTATAGATATAACTCAAACACATTTAATTCGCATGGCCAAGATATTTTATGTCGTTTATATAATAACTAATATAGGATTGATGAATGCAACTAAAACAGGATTGATGAATGCAACTAAAACCGGATCGATGAATGCAACTAAAACTGGATCGATGAATGCAACTAAAACAGGATTGATGAATGCAACTAAAACCGGATCGATGAATGCAACTAAAACCGGATCGATGAATGCAACTCAAAACAGGATCTGATGAATGCACTAAAACAGGATCGATGAATGCAACTAAAACCGGATCGATGAATGCAACTAAAACAAGATCGATGAATGCATCTAAAACAGGATCGATGAATGCAACAAAAACAGGATCGATGAATGCAACAAAAACAAGATCGATGAATGCAAATAAAACAAGATTGAGGAATGCAACAAAAACAGGATCGATAAATGCAACTAAAACAACATTGATGAATGCAACTATGAAGAGTTTAGTTAATGCGAATGTAAATAGGACTACAGTGGGTAGAGAAGATCCTGGTCCAAGCTCCATACTATATCCTGGTAAGTTATGATACTTTTGTAAACTGTTTAGTTAATGCTCTTTCTGCAACTTGATTAAACTCATTTCCATCTTGAAAGGAACGTTGGTGTTTGTTTCATCTTGACGAGAAGTGCAAATTTCGGTCTTTTAGACTTTCGTATTCTTTGTAAGTGCAAGTTTCCTCATAGCCGCCATGTTGGATGATTTTAGCAAAGGATTTTCTTTATTTACAATGCAAATGCCATCCAACATGGCGAAACTTTCATTATCTCACTCCCACCTATAAGGACCCCAAAAATTTGTTTTATTTTAAATCTTTTGATCATTTCTGTTGGCTTATGATGCTTTAAATGTCCCCTGGGTTGCGTGTTGCATCTTCCTCCCTTTTCAGCAAACTTTCTTCATTGCTCAAAGAATTCAATGTTATCAACCAGCTGGTATGTCCGTACGGAAAATGTTTTTTAAGTACGTACCGATCAAAACAGTAAATAATATTTTTATTTTTTTTTATTTTTATAATAAAGCAATTTTTAAAATGGCCGACATGTTGCTTGTTTATTCTGATATTGGATTGTTTTCTACGAAGTTCGCTTCGTCTGAATAGTAAAATTCACTCTTGCTATGATAACTACCATCCGAATATATTTTCTCTTTGAACAAATTACGTCGCTTTCAAATCAATTTTAAAATTCAAATTTCACTTTATAAAAAATACATGATCACTTCCCAGAAATATCAAAATATCATCAGATTGCAGAAAATCAAAAATAATAAATTATAATATAAATTATAATTTTTTTTTTGCAGTATGCAATCAGTACCTCGGTATCAGCGACATGAGGCTCCTCAAAGACGACCAAATGACCTCTAATCTCATGAAATACAACGAACATACGTTAGACTCACAGGAGCGAGTGCACAATAAGACCTCCACATCATCTTCATCGTTCAATTTTACTATCAAAGGAAATAAAACTGCTCCATCTGATGGGAGGCTTGGAAACAACGAGGGCTCCTGGTGTACGAATCCTTTAAAAGTGGAGCGTTTGGTTGTCGACCTGGGTATGCTATAGTAGGGGATGCATGTGTGTGGCAAAATAATTATAACCGCTGATTTAAAATGCAAAACAACGCAACAATTTCATTGGTTATAAATTTCTAAAGGCTAAAATCTGACCAATCGATGAGCTGTTGTAATATATTTTGCGTAACAATGGAATGATGGATCCACCAATAGTTTACACCATTTTCTTTTATCAATGTACCTGTAAACGATGGTATTGAAATGTTTGGGAAATTGGTGGCTATTGTATGAGCTTTTTGCTTGCGTATTATAATTGATTAACCAATTTTAATCCTACCCCTAACTTGTTCAATTGCAGATCATTTAATTCGTGTTGCTTTCATTGTACAGGTGATATTTACATACTGGAAGGAGTATTAACTCAGGGAAGATCAGATTCTGACAATTGGGTGACAGAATACAATATTGCATATGGCGTTGACGAGCATCCCAGACACTGGGATCATATCAAAGAGGTATGATGCAGATAGAGGAAAAAATGGTTCAAAGTTGCGGCTATAGTTTGAGCAATACAATTGAAAATGATTTCATATTTTTCAATAGGTATTCAAAGGGAACAAAGATCGTAACTCTATCGCTGTTGCTAGCTTTCCTACACGAATTGTGGCACGATATTTGATGTTCACACCAAGATCTTATCATGGAGAATTGATTTGCATGAGAGTTGAAGCTATTGGTTGTCATCCTGATGCTGGTACGTACTTAAGGATCGATAGGTTGTCACCTTTATGCCGGTACATAGTACTCCATAGGTTATCACCCTGATGCCGGTATATAGTGCCCGATAGGTTGTCATTCTCATGCCGATACATGATACCCGAAAGGTAGTAGCCGACTGGGCTTAAGACAATAAACATTACCGAAAAGCAAAAATACATACCAAGCTAATCTTCAGTTGATTTCCAAGCACGTTTGTGAAACCTGAAACACTTTTCGTAGAAATGTTATTAGTTTGTCAATGCTAAGCAATACTCATTATTTCTCTAGTGAATGTAGCAAAAAACCAACCCGTTTATCTCTCAAGTATCAATGGTAGCGCAAAACTGTCACCAGAATTAGTTGATGGAAAGTTTGTGACAAATTCTGTCAACGGTAAGTTTGATGAGTAAAATTATTTCGCTCTTTCCGATTAAGTACTATTTCATTTTGCAATGAAATTATGTTTACTATTGCTGATTGGTAAATATGGTGAGTTTTACAAGAATTTGTCATTAGATGACAGAATGACATGTGGAGTGTTGCAATACATACGAATATCTGCCATTGCATTATTGATGATTTTGTAGGGGGCACGTTCAAATAGGACTTTGCAACTTTAAAGTACTTAGAAATAAAAGGCTTAATGATTTTCATCATAATTTTCATTTAGAAACCTGTGCACATATTCTTAATGAAACCTATCCATGGTTACGCATCGATCTGCGTCGTCGTTATTACGTGAAAGAATTATTCATTTCAAACCATGATCACGGAAATGACTTGGACATGCGTGAATTTGAAGTACGTGTTGGAGATAGCCTTGAGAACAACGGAAACAATAATTCTGTTTGCTGTTTCGAGAACACCATACGGCAATCCCAGATTCGTACTGTTGTCTGTGGAAACAATAGTGTTGGACGCTATGTAAATATAAGGGCCTCGAAAGTGCAACTGGCCTTGTGTGAGGTGACAGTGATTGGAATTGGTAAGATATGATTTTTTATAGATTGTGTAGGTGCTTCTTGTAGATTCTAGATTTTTCTTCATTATTCATATGCTACGTGGTTATGAAAAAATTTTCATGTACATTGCATCATACTGATTATTTATTAGTCAGTTTTGTGGGAATTCCTTCACGAACCATTTATCACAGAGATGAATTTAGTGGAGGGGTACCCACCCACCTCTCCCTAGCCTTGTCTAAAATCACGCAACAACTCCCACAAACCAACCACCAAAGTCAAATCCAAACAACACTGACCATCTTATAAGAACTAGAGCACCCCTCGCCCTACAAAATCATTCTACACCATCCCTGGCTTATCACAATTATTAACTATAAGCAGTCGCTCACCAATCCAAAATAATTATTTATATTTAACGAGCTTTCGGCAGCCAGACTGTGCTTTTCTACTGGATCAAGATTAATGTAAACAGCTAACGTGTGTACTTAGAATATACATATTACATCATAGTTTTGAAATTTCAACTGCTTTTGACAAGGTGATTAGCGTTGGTTTGTTTGTTTGTTTGTTTTTTTTGTGATTTTGATGTATTATTTTGGTAATGGTCTAGAATAGTAATCTTAGTCTTTAGTAGTTTCTTCGTTCCAAAAACTCCAAAGTTTTTCTTTGTCTGAAATTTCCTTTTTCAATTTAACCGCATTTCATCCATATTCACTCTCAAGTATTTTATTAAATTTACTTTCAAAGCTGATACAATTGTCAAACTCAAACTGGATGACATCGCCGACAGTCTAAAGACAGGAGCGCGTATTACTGAAAACGGTGAAAAAACAGAGGCTTTCGTTGGAGGTCTTATTGGCCAGTTACAGGAAGGACAGCAACAATTAGGTAACAGTCTTCATGAGTACTATGTCGTTTGCTTTATTCATTTTACAAACGTTGAGAGTTTCCTGTTCCGTGTTTGTAGGTGGAATGTTCTTTGGCCAAGGCATGAGCTTTTTGAACAATATTGGAGGCCAAGGTCTAAGTATGTTCAACAGACTTGGCAAACAAGGAATGGGAATGCTAAACAATCTTAAAGAGCAGGGTATGTATGTGCTAAGTATTAGTTTTTTAATCGAAAAGGGAAGGGCAGATGTGGAGAGGAGGAGCGAAGATGTTGCGTGAAGGAAAGACAGCTTGTAGATTAGACTGGATCTTGATATTTGCCTCACAGTTTCATTTTTCTGTGTCGCAAATCATTGGTGACGACGAGACTATGCCCCATTTTTATTCAGGTCAAGATCTTACCAATGTCAAAAAATTAAAACAGCAAGGCTTCGATTTGACCAATCAGATGAAAGAACAGGGAACGGGGATAGCTAACCAAGTGAAGGAAAAGGGGGTGGACATTGCTAATCGGGTGAAGCAAAAGGGAATAAAAATGACAAACAAAGCAAGAGAAGAGGTAATGAAGGTGGCCAAGGAATTACAAGGACAAGGTACATACATATGTTAAGTTAACAGAAGAAAAAAATATTTGCTATTTTTTTCTCATGTGTTTCGAGACGTGAATTTATGTTTGACTGTATATTTTTCCGAGGTCTTAACTCGACTCTTTTTCTAACGAAAATTATCTGTTACCTTAGTTATCGTGATTTAACGGCGTACCTCAACCAATGATAACGGTCATATTATGTACATCATAACTTCTTTGTTTCGCCACGTCATTATGTATTGCCATCTCCCAATTAATGATAATTATGATTAAAAAGTCATGATATCCTAGGTGAGAAGTTGACTAAAGATTTGCGAAATCAAGGTTCAGTTGTGGTCGACGACATACAAGGACAGGCGAATGAACAAAAAGATACATTAAAAGACAAGGTATTTGTTGATGTAATTATAGAATATACGTTCTCCGTAACCTTTATTTTCACTAATTTTGTATCATACATATATCATCTTCTGATTCATAATCATTCATCACACACCCACTGAAGGTTACAGTTTTTTTAGTCGAAAGTTCGTGAAGAAAAATCAATAAAATTTAAAACTAGAGAATGTTGATTTTATCATTTTATCTGCAACTGGTTACACTTCATCTGAATTATTGATGTTTGTGCATAGGATGAAAGAAAAATTGTTATTTTATAAACAGACACAAATAAACACGCCTTTTAGGTGGAATTTTCAACATTTATTGGAATATTTTTATTTTAGCTCAAAAACTCTTGGATAAGGTAAGTGTGGCCACGTTTCGTGCACGAATGAAAAGTTTTGTTTCAGAAGTAGACCTCTGGTGAACTTTTTGCGCAGCCGTTGAAATTATAAAATAGGAGCATGGAATAATATTTTTGGATCTTGAAAATAAATATAAGTCAAATTAATATCACGGTAAATGTATCAAGACATTTCAGATCTTGGAAGTCTTTCAAATGAAGGAAGTTGAAGAGTTCTCATACTTGGAGTAATAGAATATCCTGCGTTACACTTAATTAGCTACCTACATGCCCGTCCCTCACCCATAACCTTAATTATTAAACTTCGTAATCCTAACCTTGCCCGAGTTGTTGTTTAGAGTCCTTTGTTCCTCTGTATTCTATTTTCTCGCACTCTGCTGGTTATATAACATACGAAAAATGTCGACTGATAATTGTTATTGTTAGAATTGTATTCAGGCTTATTTATAATGCAGGCTAAAGAATATTACGAGAAAGCGAAGGAATATAAAGATAAGTTTATGGAGGAAGGATATTTAAGCACGGGAAAAGGTATTGTTTACATCAGACCACCTCACTTTGTGTGGGGATTTTCAGGAGCATAGCCAGCCCGCAAGTTTTAAATGTTTTTGCAGTGAGTGAACAAAGAAAAATATCTTTGGCAGGATAAAAATTTGCATTTTGGCTACGTCACTGTTTATGATAACAGCAACTGCATCTGAGCTATAGTAGTTACAAAAATTATTTTTGAATTATGTGTGAAGTTAACTTGAAATTGACTTTGCTAAAGACAGAATTATAAACAATTGTAAATTTGCTTTTACGGTCCATAGTTATTAATATATAGCTTATGTATGAACAGCTCTAATTTAAAGTGTCTGTATATCAGGGGCAAAGAAATAACTTTTTCGATAGCGTAGTCGATTTTAAGTACATTTGCAATATATCTCATTTTAGGTCACTTCCGGTGAAGAGTCACCTGAGCCCTATTTACACGACATAAACCCGGGTTTAACCGAGGTTAGTTTTTTTGCATGTAAACACCACTTACCCAGGTTTTACCTTGGTTAAACTCTACCCATCTCAAGAGGTAGGTTGAGTTTATCCTAGGTAAAACCTGGTTAGTAGAGCTTACTCGCAAAAAAATGCACCTTTGTTAAACCTGGGTTTATGTTGTGTGACTAGGGCTTTATGCTAGACCCCAAAAGCATATGAACATAAAATTTTCGACGCATGAAATTTTCCTAAATTTAACTTCTAAAGAAGTTATTTCCTGACCCTGACATAGGTACTTTAATTGTTTATACATGCTGAATTGTATTGTTTTGGTATTATCTCTGGAGTGGAGATTTAAGAAATCTATAATGGTGAAAGTTGTCAGTTCATTTTTTTAACCTTCAACTCAAACTGCCGTTTTATTCAACAGAATATCTAGATATTGGTATTAGTATGACGATGAAGGGACTTCGTTATTTACAAGAGAAACTCACAGATTCATTAAAAAATATTGCCGGTGATTTGACGGGTCAAATTACGGGCAATATAGACGAGTACAACACTGACGGTGTTAATGGTTTGCTTGACAATGTGGACACTGATAAGGTCAGGGATATCGTCGAGGAAGCGAAACCAAAGATCAATGATTTCATTGATGAGATGAAGAGGTTGATAAAGAAGTACACGGAAGTTGTTATCGATAAAGCTAAGGAGTTGAAGGAGGATATAGAAAGCGAGGTAAGAGGTTGATAAAGAAGTACACGGAGGTTATTATCGATAAAGCTAAGGAGTTGAAGGAGGATATAGAGAGCGAGGTAAGAGGTTGATAAAGAAGTACACGGAGGTTGTTATCGATAAAGCTAAGGAGTTGAAGGAGGATATAGAGAGCGAGGTAATAGATTTATTGACGATTTCATTTCAAAAAAGATTTTAACGCAGTCGTCTGCAGATAGTTTTCTTGTCTCTTTTGAGACCTCGTGAAAATATTTTTCAGTACGAATCTCCCCGACAGTAAATACGTAACGCATATATTGTTGTTTCAGGTTGACAGTGCGCAGAAAGATGTAAAAAGTATTGGGGAAAAGGTAGCTAAACAGGCTAAAAATACGGGTAAAAATATTGCGAACAAGGCCAAAACTGTTGCCATCGATACTGTGTCTAAAGCGAAAACTGCTATCACAAATGCCACGAACAAAGTGAAGGATGCTGGGATGAAAACGTTCAATACAGCACAAGAGACTGGAAAGAATGCCGTCAATGAAGTTAAGGATTCTGCCAAGGATGTCGTTGATAAGACAAAGAAAAGCGGCATAGATGCTGTGGATAAAAAAAGGAAAAGTGTCATGGATGCCATGAGTAAGGCAAAGACAAGTGGCGTGAATACTTTTGGTGAGTTTAGATGGTGTCTACAAAATAGTATTATATACAGAAGGTAGAACTCAGACTGTTTAGTGAGTTTAGATTGTGTACACAATAGTATTATCTACAGAAGGTAGAAAAAAGACTGTTTGGTGAGTTTAGATAGTGTACACAATAGTATTATCTACAGAAGGTAGAATTCAGACTGTTTGGTGAGTTTAGATAGTGTACACAATAGTATTATCTACAGAAGGTAGAATTCAGACTGTTTGGTGAGTTTAGATAGTGTACACAATAGTATTATCTACAGAAGAAAGAACTCAGACTGTTTGGTGAGTTTTGATGGTGTACACATTAGTATTATCTACAGAAGGTAGAACTTAGACTGTTTGGTGAGTTTAGATTGTGTACACAATAGTATTATCTACAGAAGATAGAACAAAGACTGTTTGGTGAGTTTAGATAGTGTACACAATAGTATTATCTACAGAAGGTAGAACTCACACTGTTGGGTGAGTTTAGATAGTGTACACAATAGTGTTATCTACAGAAGGTAGAACTCAGACTGTTTAGTGAGTTTAGATTGTGTACACAATAGTATTATCTACAGAAGGTAGAAAAAAGACTGTTTGGTGAGTTTAGATAGTGTACACAATAGTATTATCTACAGAAGGTAGAATTCAGACTGTTTGGTGAGTTTAGATAGTGTACACAATAGTATTATCTACAGAAAAAAGAACTCAGACTGTTTGGTGAGTTCAGATGGTGTACATAATAGTATTATCTATATAGAAGAAAGAACTCAGACTGTTTGCTTTTTGGCTTAGATTTTTTATCAACTTGCGCTGTAAGCTTCGAAATTTTGAAGTGAAAATCAAACGAATATAATATGGCGTGAAATTTGGTGCAATTAATCGAATTATTTTATATGAATTGTTTTATTTTAGTCTATAGTCATTTTAACTATCTAAAGTTTAGACTGAATATCTGTATTGTGACAATTTTCTGTTATTGTTTGTTAAGATCAGGCAAAAGATGTGGGAATGGGAGCGTTTGGTAACTTACAGACCGCTGGCAACAATGTTTTTGGACAGGCGAATAACCTGGGAATGGGTGCTTTTGGTAAGCTCAAACAAACAGCAGGGAGTGTATTTGGTAACGTGCAAGGATTTGGCCAAGGAATGTTTGGAAAGGTGATTGCAGTATTGATTGAGTCTTGAAGCATATTTTACTAAACATTAAAATGTCGACCTTTTTTGCCGTTGCACCCTGTATTATACAACAATTTTCATACAAGAGAATGGCCACCAACGTCGTGATATTTTTGCCTTTTCTTTTTTTTGCAATTATACACCGGCCTAATTTTTTCTTTCATTGCTTAAATCTTAAAAATTTATGTCGAAGCGATAGTTTTGGGTGTTAAAATCATTCGCCTTAATAACCCAGTTTTTATTTTTCCCTTTTTTCAGCTCAGCGATGCAGGAATAAAATTGTTGTCCAAAGTTAAAGATGCCAAACCAAAACAAGTGAAGGAAATGCAGCAGATCTACACGCTTCAGCAACTCAAGCAGATTAAACACATGCAGGATCTTGTGAAGGAGTTACGTATGAAAGAAGATATACAATGGCAAAAGTTGGAGGAAATTATTGCTGAAGTCGAAGAAAGGAGGAGGATGGTAATGGAGAAGACTAAAGTGAAAGGTGCGTTTCAATGAAATTTTTACTCCGCTTACCTTTTTATAGTATGTTGTTTGAAAGGAAGTTAACTTATTTATGATTTTCAAAACGAAAATTTTGTGAAAGTTTGTGTTTAACAATGTTTTTTCCGGTGTGGAAAATTGCAGTGTTAGGATGTTCTTTTGTAAAAGGCAGATAATCCCAGTTTTCTTGAAATTTGTCTCGATGGTATGTTTTTATCGGAGCAACAGCTGTTAAGTGTTTTGCTAATCCAAGGCAAGGATGGGTGCACTATGGTTTGGAAAGAGGTTCCTCTATTTTGGATTAGATTTCGGTGGCCACTTTTTTTAGTAGTATGTCAAACTTCTTTTGTTGAGTTGTTTTTGTTTAATTGTTTGGTATATTAGTATTTTGTACGGAAATTTTCTCTCTCCAATCCCCTAAATCTATTCCTGATCCTACGGTGTTTTGTCTATTATTGTTCCTCCTATTGATTCAGTTTGAAAGGGTGTGCTGATTCGTTCTATAAGAAAATTATTGTTGTCAACTTAGCCTTATGTGAATTAGTTTTTCATTACAGATACAGACTAAGAATTTCACTCTTTTGACGAAGACTTGTAGGAGTCACGGCTTAAGCCTAAAGTGTACTAAAGTAATTACATTTATCAAAGTTATTGTGAATTATAAGACAATCTTTATATTTGTGTACTCTGTCGAAGACCTTAGTATCAATCGTGATAAAAACTAAAGTTGAACATTTTTAAAATGTTGTCATGATTTTTCTTTGCTTTTGTAAACTAAACTGGGTTTTATGATCTTACGTTAAAGATTTTTATTGTATTTATTGCTTAAATAGTAAAATTTTAAACAAATCATAAATTAATGTTTAGCTTGAGCTGATCGTTTGTAAATTTATGAAATCTCTTGCTGTAAATTTTAATGTCAAAAAGTATCAAACCGTAAACTAAAAAGCCAAGAGTAAAAGAAGGAATTTATCAAAATATTTTGTTTTTCATTCTTTCATCAATATTAACAACTCTAATGCAAAACAATCGTTCACTATAAACAAAAATAATTCATTTCGACGAGGTTTCACAAACTACATTACATTATACCTTAACCTATACTATACAAACTGTGCTTCATTCGTATTAACAATACTCTTAAACTTCCTTCAGAAAGGTGTTTCTGTGTTTATCATTATTGTGATTAAACCGCCCATTCTTTTTAAGAGTTCCTATTCTGCTACCCCATGTATTACTAACCTTTGCTGTAAGGTGAGTGGTTTGAAACCGGGAGTATCGTTACACGTTTGTAGATGTAGATCTTCCAAGATAGTGAAATCCTAACGAGGACTGTTGCTGTTTATTTCTTACTCTGAAGATGACTACCGCTTAGCAAGGCGTCAGTCAACATCAACACCATCAGACCTTCTCAGGACTCCAGTAAACTGGAAGATTTACATTTACAAACATGTAAACCTTTGCTATCAAATGCTTGGATAGTTCTTGCTATATCCTGCTACGGTGTGATATATGATCTTCTATGTGGGACCAAACAACATCGAAATGGACAAAACGTTCCACATTTTGATCTACACACATCTGGGCATATCCATCTCCTTGCTTTAGATTGAGTTAATTTTGAGGCTGAGACTCTTAATATTTTATTTCTTTTGTAAGGCATTGTGGAATCGACTGGATTACTTTTTGGTATCCTGTTTCTTCGGTATGGAAGATTGCAGCAGTATGGTGGACATTGGGCGGTACAATAGGTTTTACAAGACGGGATACAGTGGGTCGACTGTCCCAATTGAGCTATGTTTTGGCCTAAGTTTCTTATTTTTACCGAAAATTTATTGATTTTCTGTTTCAGTTTTGTTAGTTTTAGAGCTTCTCTTGCTGAAGATCCACCCTTGTTAGTGTTGATGTAGGGTATTGTTTTTCCTCGGAACACTCTTGTGTTTTGATTTAAAATGTTTTTCATGTTTGCAATCACGTTTCCGTGCTTTGCTACAGAGCTCTGTTTATAAGGTTGCATTATATTTCGAAATTGCTGTGACCTATAGGAGTTAGGGAAACTTTTTCTTGGAGCTGGTGTTGGCGGGTTTACTTTGGAGGTGGAATTTTCACCTGTTTGTTTCCATCCTGCCTTGTAAAACGCAGGTTTTGATGGTATTGACGATCGCTTGGAAATGCAGCAATGCCAAGGACAATCATAAGTACAACGAGAATTGCACATGTTGGGACATGACACTGGACTAACGACGTTTACACGAAGTGGGGTTCTACAGCATTGCGTCGCACAATGCGGAGAACATTGTGCCGAGCATGAGGGGTGACAAGGTTTTTGGTATTTGTTGATTCGTAAGCGAATTCTACAGCACACCTGTGGACATGATGCCGAACAGTGGTCTTTGCATGTATTGGGACACCACGAGAATATTGTTGGACTTGTTGTGGTTGCTATGATAGAGGGTGGAAGTGTTGGTTGGGGCATAGGAGAAGGAGGAAGGGGCTGCGGAGGAGGAGGCGGTGGTGGGGGAGGACATGGTGGCGGACAAGGAGGAGGACATGTTGACGGACATGAGGAGACATGGGGGGGAGGAGGACATGGTGGAAAGGAGGAGGACATGGTGGACATTGAGAGTTATCTGGAGAGGGAGGAAGTGGTATTGAAGGAAGAAGACATGGTGGACAAGGAGGAGGACATGGTGTTGGACATTGAGTAGTTATCTGGGGAGGTAAGGAGGAAGTGGTATGAAGGAGGAGGACATGGGGACAAGGAGAAGAAATGGATAAGGAGGAGGTAATGGGATAAAGAGGAGGTAATGGGAGGAGGAGGTAATGGAAGGAGGAGGAAATGCAGGATAAGGAAGGGGGAGGAGGTGGTGGGAATGAATGGGGGAATGGTTCGGAAGGATAAGTCTGTGGTTGATAGTATTTCTTGTATCCAGTTTGTAGGAAATTTCTGACCTCGGGACAACATTTCACCGGGCAATCTGGCATACATGATTCTGTACACACTCTGGGACACGGAAGTGGCACGGTCAAAGGCTCTGTCGATGTACAACATGACTGCGGGCACACTGTGCTGCAGTGTGTATAACAGCTCGGTGAGCATATGTTTGATTGAGGTTCACTTGGTGTGTAGGACTTTGGTACCATGTCAGTTGATGGTTTCTTTGTTGTTTCATAATCTGTGTGATGAAGAACTTCAATGTTTTTTCCTGAAAAAGATATTTTATTATCTTTCCGTGAGAGTCGTTTCCTGTCCCACACAGTTACACTACCTGCGCAATACGCCCAGACACCGTCATTGTCGTAGTCTTTGGTTAATGAACACCACGGTCGGGATTCACCGTCAGTAACACAATGATGATGTAGAATTTTCTTATAGGTGAACGGTAACTGACAACATTTTTCATTTCCATTACCGCCTTCCGTGTTCATACAATCTGAACAGGAATTTTTTGTCACATGGATGATTCTATCAGATTTTGGGTGCCATTATACATCTTATGTGAGTGACAAGCATTCATGATTGCTTATTTAATTGGCTGTGCGATCGATTGGAAGAAATTGTTTGTCCCTTCTAGTTACGTATAAAGTACTTTAGTGTGACGTGCTAGGCCTGTATTGTAACTTGAAATGAACTAATCCTAACTTACCCTGTCTACACCCCTACTTACCCTGGCAATACCCCCATTGTCCATCTCTATCATAATCGATTGTTGTCGCGCACCATATCCTGTCATTGTGCTGAGATTTTGTACATCGATCATAAATTTTGTCGCGATATATGAAGGGGAAATGGCAACAGGCTCCCATTGCGTTTCCATCGTGAGTGCTCTGACATCCTGTTGATATTGAATTACGGGATATGAACGTCGAATCTATCGTGATTTTGTTTTTGTGATTTTATCGTCAGAGAAAAAACTGAAAGAATGATCTACCGTACGAGATTCATTCATATTGTATTCCGAGTCTTTATTTAGCTATAAATTCATTTTCAATATTGCCTACTACGAAAAAAGGTTTACTTCCAATACACGTAAACAATCAAATTTTAAATTATATGCAACTGAACCCAACCTGTTGAAATGTAAATTAATCAGGTGAGTGAGTTGGTCATCAACAAATATGCCAACCAATCATGTTCTTTGTTCTTTGCTGATAGACTTTATACAATAACAAAAATAAAACGCGTGCGATGATTGGTCTATAGCTGAGTCTGCATTAGCCTGTACAAACGATCTTAGCTCAATCAATTAAATCAATCAAAGAGAATTTACTAATCAATCACCAGCAACTGAAAACCCTCGACCTTCGGTCTTGAGTCCCCTGGATTTGCACGAGTTGTGCACATCCGGATATTACTCATATCTTTCTTACCTTTCTCACTGGAGGGCGTCGTCTTTATTGGATCTATATGCGTGACATACACATCTGGTTTAAATACATTTGACACTTTGCTTTGTAAAACTCATAACTTCTTGCCTTCTCTCACCTAGATTGTCTCCCGATGGCGTACTTATTTGTTTTGTTGGTACGCTGTTACCTGAAACTTGACCGTTACTTCCTGGAAGACTGGTATCTAAGAAAATGGCATCTTGTCTGCGTGGAGGACCTGTTGACAGAAAGTGTTGACATAAGGTATGCATATTGAACTAAAATACATGGAACGCTGTCTGTAATGCAAAACCCTAATAATTTTTCGAAGCCGTGACTTTCCCCAGACACGCGATATTTTACCCCAGACACGCCTGTGTAGTCAATCAATAGAGAGACTTAGCAAGAGTACGACTACGACGACGAATACGAAGTTTGACCGTTTAAGGGAATGGCACGTGGTAGTTTGTTGTCGTTGTCTCTTCGTCAAAATTTTGTTTTAGTTGTAAACAACCATTGAACTAAGATACATGGAACGCTACCTGTAATACAAAACCCTAATAATTTTTTGAAGCGTGATTTTACCCCAAACACGCGAGACTTTACCCCAGACACGTGTGTGTACTCAATCAATTATTACTCCGTGAGAGAATAACGAAACACTAAACACGCGAGTCTAGGGTAAAATCTCGCGTCTGGCGTAAGATATGGCTTTAATTATTTGCTTGAGGTAGCGTTCCATGTATTTTAGTTCAATGAAAACAACAGAACGAGCCTCTTTATTGTATAAAACACCTAAGTTTGCGAAGCAAGTACGGCTCTATTTGTCAATAATGATATCAACGAATCGGTAATACTGATTTTGCGAGAATGTAGGACTCTTTAGACTGAAAAATCTCCACTATTTTAAGTTTTATGTACGATATATGTGTACTATTTTGTTGTTTGTCTACCTTTCACTTTGCGTAGGAAATGCATGAAAGTTTTCAAGGTCACATTTTCTTTTTGATGTACATCTGCGCTCAAAAGGTTCTAAATTAAAGCCTGGATGCTCGAAAATAGTACTGTAAACTAATTTCTTACACAATGAAAAATGTGCCTACTTTCTTTGCTTAAAAAGACATCATAGTCGCGACTACGAATTATTTACAAAACATCGTACTCAGATTGATGACGGCTACGTCTTTTTGTTGTCGCAACAATGTTTTCGCGTTAAAATGACGTAATTCGCACTCGTAGTCGTACTCGTAGTCTTTGCTAAAGCTCGCTAATTATTACTCCGCAAGAGAATCTCGAAACACTACACACGCGATTTGGCTTTAATTATATGCTTCAGGTAGCGTTCCATGTATTTTAGTTTAATGCGTATGTATCATAACAAGTTCCTATTTTTTTGCGACATTTTTTAAAACGTGTGTTTGAGAATTGCGATAATCTGCAAAATTGCAGCGATTGATAAGGCAATGTGAAGTTACTGGATTAGTAAGTCGGACATTACAAAAACTTCATTATCTTATGAACCAAAAATAGATATGACTAAATTCTTTTTGAAAGTCCGCAGCCATTTTAAGGTTCTCATGTAAACAACAAGTTTGTGTTTTACTATAGTTTATTAATTGTACGTTATTTATGTTATTTGTTTTTAAATTGTGTTTTGTGTTAAATGTTACACACTTATTCTTTGTATAAGTTGTTTATGGAATGTACGTTATTTATGCTATGTCTTTTTTATATATTGTGTTTTGTATTAAATGTCACACACTTTCTTGTTGTATACGCTGTATATTGGATGTGCGTTGTACATGTTTTCTGTTTTGAAACGTTTATGCATGTTTTTCTGTTGTGCATGTTAATTCAATCATCTTATATGTAAAATGTATACTTTGCCATCATGAGTTCATAGATAGTATATTACATTATATCAAAGACAAAGAAATTGTAGAACACACCTTCTCTTGCTGTGACAATGACATCAGCAAAATTGTCGCAGTCATCCTGTGGTGACACGGATATTGTTCTCTCTCCATCCAGTAAGATTTCTCTGTTTATGCTGTCATCGAATCCGTGAAATATGACGAAATGCCTTAGCTGCGAATGTCTGAAAACTGTTTTGAGTTTATACTCGTCCGTGTTGATCATGTATCCTTCTGGCTTCATTGTCGAGATGATTTTGAAATGTCCCCCAGCGTGATTCATGAACCGCAAGGCAATGCATTTGTCTAAGGAAATATTATCATGAATAGTTGGAGTGGTTTGCAGCCGAGGGGGGGTTGCTATTCATATTCGTTTCTGCATGCACGAGAACAAGATTAGTTGGAAAGCTGCTGTTTCTTTACCTGCTGCTCGCCAAATTAAAGCAAGATTTTGATCATTCGCGTATTTTTAAATCAATTCATATTATATGGTAAAGGGATTAGTTTATGGTCTTACATTCCTTGTTTTCTCTCGTCAGAACGGATCCATTTCCTTTGTGCAAGTTTAAACATAGTATAATTTGTATGAAAACAAATCTATTCCACGCTTCTTGTCTTTTATACACCATTGTGTGCTGATGAAATCATTGCAAAGAGGATTTCCTTTTCCTAACGCATTGCGGGCTCAATTTTTGTAGATGTTTCTATATGATGTGATATTCTGTTATGATTTAACACCAAGTCTTTGTAAGTCGCGACCAGGTCAGGACTTGATATATTTAAATGCTCTCCATTTTTATATAATCGTGTTTGTCTTCGTCAACAGGTAGAACGGCAGGAATTTGGATTAACCTTTTGTTTACCAAGTGAATTATATCTAAACATGTACAGGTGGCAAAACTGTTCACCAAATTAAATAATTTCTTATGATGGGCTTATATACAGGAAGTTTTGAAACAAGGTTATTTCCACTAACTGACTTGGACATGATACTGACTATTTATTTCACAGAAATGCAGCAGCATTGAAGGACAATGTAGACTACAAATTCAGTGTGTCGTTTAAGCAACACTGCTGTTATTTTTCATGAAACCTAATTTTAAAGTAAATGGTTTGAACCCGGGAGTATCGTTATATGTTTGTAAATGATGATCGTCCAGGTTAATAAAGTCCTGAGAAGGACTGTTGTTGTTGACGTTTCGAACCTTAGCGGTAGTCATCTTCAGAGTCAAAGAAGATGACTACCGCTAAGGTTGTCGAAACGTCAGTCAACAACCAAAACAGTCCTTCTCAGGACTTTATTAACCTGGACGATCATCATTTACAAACATAAAACCTAATTTTATTGGTCCTTTTATTACGATGTGTTATACGATGGTAAACTTAGCACTTAACACCTTTGATGTTGGTAATCACTTTTCCAAGTGTTTCCACATGATATTTTGAAAGCTTATGATTTTCGAAATGGAAAAGGGAACTTTTATTGTTGAGACCATGCTACCTCTTATGGATGCTTAAATTTGAGGCGAGTTCTATGTATGCATATCTTAAGCGATTGCTTTGAGTTGTTAGAGTTGGTGATATTTTTGTGGTAAGACCGGTTGAAATCAGTGAAAAGGAAGAGAAGTGAGTTTCAAATATACTTTTTGAAAACATTTAAGATATGCATAAAACTTCTAGATAATGCTTTCAAAGATGCAGAAATCCTTGACATCTGTCTAATGAATGATATATAATGCATGTTCATATCGCTTGTCGTATGTCTATGGTCGATAAAGTTAAACGTATATGCAATGCAACAACATTAATGTGCAATCTGCATATTAGTAGATCAGATTTTATCACAGCAAGTGGTCTCTATGCTTGAGTAAACACTTCTTATCAATTATGGAGCGAAATAGATTTATAATTCAAGTCCTGTAATTTAATCAATGTAGGAGTGAATGTTGCAGCGTGTAGAAAAATTGATTTGATAGAATATAGAATTTCTTTACTTTTTCAGATGCGATTGTCAGGGCTTTAAATGAAGATAACTAAACTATTGACCTTGTGATCGCGGTCAGAAACGGTCATGTATTTCTGTTAGAATACCATCTTGTTGGTTGTTGTCGACAACTCACAGACATACGTTTTATGTTTGTAAATGATGATCTTCCAGGTTAATAAAGTCCTGAGAAGGACTGTTTTTGTTGTTGTTGACTGACGTTTCGACAACCTTAGCGGTAGTCATCTTCAGAGTCAAAAATTTTTTTGAACAGTCCTTCTCAGGACTTTATTAACCTGGACGATCATCATTTACAAACATATAACGATACTCCCTGGTTCAAACCATTTACTTTATTAGACATACGTTTATTCAACTAAATATATTGTACTCATGCAACCCCAAGTTGCCGTTTTGAATACAGTCACCGCGGACGAACGTTTGCTCTTATTCTAATCACAGTACAGATACTAATGAATAATCGTAATGGTACATCACTATTTCACTATCATAAAAAACAACCCACTTCTAAGTCCCTCCCAATAAATGTCAATCATATTTACTACGGTATGTCCGTTAGTCCCGACACACTCCCCTATATATTAATTTTAAAATATATAACAGAATAGACTGACTTCGTTAAAGTTCAAAAAGGGATTATTATGCATGCAAATGTTTAAATATAATTTTATAAATGTCACCACTCTTCAGTTTCCACATGTTGTTGCATTGTCACTTCTGCAGCGACTGCTGCATCACGTCGTGGTTTCGGTTGGGATTCAGGAGCTGCAGGATTCAATTCGCCTTTGGGATCTAAGTCACACGATAACTCTAGAGGGTAGAGTTGCTGCACAGCCCGCTCGAGTCTTCCCTTCGCTGTTCTCAACCTTACTCCCCGTACAACTCCGTCCCGTCCACGGATCAGGTCTTCCAAAATACCTATCTTCCACATATTCCGGTTCCTTTCTTCACCTTCAATTGTTACCACATCCCCATGGTTCGGATAATCTGATTGCTTTCCACCATTCCTTTGCTTGTGGTGCTCTCTCAATCCTCTGATGTACTCTTGCGTCCATCGTCGCCACATCTGATCTTTGTATTTCTTCAGCTGTTTAGCTCTTTTCCGTAGATCGGTCGATTCTTGATGATGAGGTTTGACTTCAGGAAGATCATTTGGGTTTATGTGCAGCAGCTTGTTGGGAGTGAGCACTGGTTGCTCAATTTCGTCTTCTACGTAGCTTAATGGGCGATTGTTAAGTGCTACCTCAACGTCCAAGATGACTTCAGACAACTCCTCCCATGTCAATCTACCATTTCCAACGCTCTTATAAAAGCTACGCTTAAAAAGACCAATCAGTCGCTCAAATGCCCCCAACCACCAAGGAGCTCGACTTAAGTTAAACCTCCATTCTATCTTTCGTTTAGTAAGAAACAAGTTGAGCTTTTCATCTTTCTGGGCCAATCTAAGCCACTTTTCTGCAGCCTTAAATGTAGTAGCGTTGTCCGAATATATTATTTCCGGTCTTCCTCTTCTTGCAATTAATCTCTTCAGGCTCGGGACGAACTCTGCAACTTCCAGTGATTTCAACAACTCCATGTGCACTGCTCGGGTTAGACTGCACGCGTAAAGAACAAGGTATGCCTTTCTTTCCATTTTTCTTTTCGCCATGTATCGAATAGGGCCAGCGAAGTCGACTCCTAGCACTTGAAATGGAGTTGACCCTTGGGTTCTTGTAGTTGGCAATCTTCCTTCCGGTGGGTTTTGGAATGACTGTGCTCGAAACTTTACGCAACCATAGCATTTGGACCTCACTTGCTTCACTAGTCGACGCAGTTTCGCGATCCAATTTCGCTCTTGCACTTCGGCCATGGTTGCTGAGACTCCCCATGGAGCGTTGTTAAATGTGCTTGTTCCACAATTCTCCTCGTAAATGTGGATTTTGTCGGTAGGAATATGGGATACTCCCCCTCTCTTCCACCGCGACACTCTAGTGTTCCATTGCTCCTTGGTTGAAGGTTTAATTCCAGCTTTTGGGTTTGATAACAAGACTGCTCTCTAAAACTATTTTGTTCACGTCTGATCCACCACAGTGTGCAGTTTTCAATTTCGTGGTACTTTATAGGACCTGTCTTTCGTTCATCGCGTGTGCGCCTGCAATTGTTGATGAATCTTCTTATCCAAGCGCAGATACGAAGGGTTTTGCATAATGGATACGATTCGACTAACTTGTCGAACTCGTTTTTCTCCTGGTCTTCCGCTCCAACCATGACGTGTGCCGAAGATTTTTCTTCCTTTCTTACCTCCTCAGTGACTACAGGAAGTATCTCTTGCGGCCAATTCCCTTTATTGCTTAGCCACATTGGTCCACGTCTCCAAAGCTCGTTGTCGACAGCATGCCCACCGCGGCTCCCAATGTCGGCTAGATTTTCAGTTGTTGGAACATGACGCCAGACGATGTGATGGTGCTGTTGGATCTTTCTCACTCGATTTGCTACAAACTGGCGATATTCACCCTGACCGTTTATCCAGCATAACGCTACCGTGGAATCGAGCCAACAATGAATTGATGTCACTCTTTCTTTACCAATTGCACGCTCTACATTGATCACCAGGTTTGTCACCATATGTCCAGCAACAAGTTCTAACCGTGGAATAGTAAGATTTCGTTTCGAGATCCGCGATTTAGAACTGACGATGCCTTGAGTGAGGTTATCTTCTTGATCCGTTACAGCATAAACTACCGCAGATACACCATCCTTGCTAGCATCTCCAAATCCGTGTAGATGAATAGACCGTACAGGCACATGAAAGGGTGCTAGTGGACGATTGACTGTATATGCAGTAGGCAGTCTGTTGTACCAATCCCGCCATAACTTTCCCATGACATCATCAATCTCCTGATCCCAAGATAAACGACTTTCGCACATTTTCCGATACAAAAGTTTCCCAGTAAGCATTGTCGGAGATATAAGAACAATTGGATCGTAAATCTTTGCTAGTTGCGACAATGCTCCTCTCTTTGTCGTCGCTGCGCTTCCTTCCTTTTCTACGACGACACTGAACGTATCTTGCAGTTTATTCCAAGTCAGGCCCAGTATCTTTGCTACTGTGTCCACTGTTCCGAGTTGTTCCTTTGCGTAGGTTGCGTTTGTTTGTTCTATGTCTTGTTCGGGTAGATCATTGTTGGATTTCTCCAGTTCAGCTGCATTGGAGTGCCATTTATGAAGCTTAAAGGTAGCATCACTAAAAATTTCTATCGTTTTCTTCTTCTTCAACAACACTTCGCCAACATTTGTGCCGCCTTCCATAAGGTCATCAACGTAAAGACCGTCCTTCACAATTGTTCAAGGTCATTTTGAGAGTTTGTGGTTATCGTTAGTAGCATCATATTCTGGTCAACTTCAACGCCAGGGTTCATGATGATCCATCTCAACTTTGTCAGCTCTGCTATTGGGTCCCCTTCGTTACCAACCAACGGTTTTGTCCTGGTTTTTATGCGAGCATACTCGCCGCTTCCAAGCACGAGATGTAACCTAGCCTTCGAATAAACATCGTCCGTTTTTACCGAATTTAAATGTTTGTATTCTCTCACGAGTTTTTCATATTGGGGATTACTAGTAGTTAATAGTTCTGGGCGTTCTACTTTGTTCAACTTTACCCTCATCACTTGAGAACCGTCTAGTGCACTAATCGTCGCGCGATGAATTTCGATACGTTTAGTTTGTGATGTCATGAGCATGTCAATACGCTGGTGTTTAATATCGCTAGGTTTTGTTTGAAGTGCATCAATTAGCTTTGCAGAGGCGTATGAGCTTCCAGCACCGGAATCAATCAACGCCCTACACTTAACATTGTTCACTTGAACTACAACAACAGGAAATATACCCTCGGCATGCACGCCATCGGTCATTAATGCTTTACTGTCACTTGCGTGTTTATCGTCTTGTTTTCGAATATTGCGTGGCTGTTTACAGATTGACGTATGATGACGTTTGTTACAGTGCCGCACGCAATCTTACTTTTACACTCGGATGCCCTGTGAAATCGTGGCACAATTGAAACATAGCCCTTCTTAGCTAAAATTCGTTTGCGTTCATTCGGCTTGACTATTTTGTGGCACTTTGTAGCTTTATGATCCATATCACCGCAATAAACGCAGCCGGATAATTTCTCTTCGTTTTGTCTGGCATGAAATACTTTGTGCGTTCTATTTCCTTCGTAACGCGAGTCGTTATTGACTACTGGATTTCGTTTTACCCACTGTCTCAAAGCGTCAGAAAGCTGACCAAAACTCCAAGACTCCCAATCTGTGTCGGTACGGACTAAATCTTCCCTTATCCCTGATAATTTTTCTAAGTTCATGGACACGTTTCCGTTTATCTCATCAAGCTTCTATGTCAATATGTAAGTTTTTTGCTAAAATCTGCAATTTTACGCGGATTGTTGCCTGAAATGTGCGGCAGTTCGAGGATTTCCTTGACATAGCATTTTACAATAGTAGTACATAGCATTTTACGTAGTCCTCGACAACTCACAGACATACAATTTATCAATTATGGAGCGAAATAGATTCATAATACAAGTCCTGTAATTTAATCAATGTAGGAGTGAATGTTGCAGCGTGTAGGAAAATTGATTTGATAGAATATAAAATTTCTTTACTTTTTCAGATGCGATTGTCAGGGCTTTAAATGAAGATAACTAAACTATTGACCTTGTGATCGCGGTCAGAAACGGTCATGTATTTCTGTTAGAATACCATCTTGTTGGTTGTTGTCGACAACTCACAGGCATACGTTTATTCAACAAAATATATTGTACTTATGCAACCCCAAGTTGTCGTTTTGAATACAGTCACTGTGCACGAACGTTTGCTTTTATTCTAATCACAGTACAAATACTAAAGAATAATCGTAATGGTACATCACTCTTTCACTATCATAAAAAACAAAACACTTCTAAGTCCCTCCCAATAAATGTCAATCATATTTACTACGGTATGTCCGTCAGTCCCGACATTGTCTTGCACACTTGGGAAATTTCCCTAGAATTCCACACGTAACGAAGCAAGTCTGTTTCGTTTCACCTGTTAAACAATTCTGGATTTATTAAGGGAAAATAAAAGTTTGTCATTTTTCAACGAGATGGTACGACGCAATATATATGGTAAGCAAAAGTTTTGCGATATGATGTCTAACGAAAAATTGGAGTGAGTTGCGGTGATTTAGAGAAATTTTGATTGACGAGATTTGTAAATTTTTCTTAAACTTGTCCGACAAAATTAGATGGAATTCGTAGTTTGGACCCAGATTAATGGTCTATTTCTTATTAAAGGAATCTATTCTTTTCCGAGGTCTCCGTTCATCACTGACATTAAAAGCAGAAATTATAGTTGGGTATTTTTGTCGCTTAAAATTGCATAAAATTTTAGTTTTATCCTTTTTCAATAAGCTAGCGTTAATAAAAAGAAAGACCGAAATCGTTTTTAAAATATTTGTGGAAAATTATATTCATTTCACAATTCTCATTTTTACACGTGGAGTTGTGGGAACGTATCAAGCTGACCTTTACTATAAAAAAAATATGTGACTTTGTCATACATAACTGTGTTAGGTCGTCATTCTAAAAAGGAAAACTTTGCTGGATAATAAAGCTTAAAAGACTAGAAGTAACTATCGCAAGGGAGGAGTCCTGCCCTGACCCCTTGTCTGGAGAAGATTGCACTGTACAGACCGTACACCCCTTAGAACCACCTCTTCGTTTACAGCAATCTACGTGGTTTCATACATACGTTATGATTGGCTGATTTTAATGATAGACAAAGAAATTCTACATGTGGGTCTTTTTAACTTTTAACATTGAATTGGCTAGATATATTTCGTCATGTTTAAAGTTTTCTTTCTATCTTAAGGCCGTTCACAGGCTCCAATTTGTCGGATCCGATTGTTTTGGTTGCTTGTTCAGACGGTCAGATAGTTTTCTTGATATTTAGGTATGTTTACATATTTTTAGTGTTGTTCAGTATCGTACTGTGCAATCAGTGGTATTTGATGGATGAACTGCTAGGTCCTTTGTATGTAACATTGACAAATATGATGGCTCATTCACACATCCATAACGGCCAAACAGAACCATTTATGTAGTTTTGGATGTATGCCACATGTTGAAGCTAGCCCGAAACAGCTTGGGAGACAAAAAATATTCTACACAGCCACTGGTGGGAAAATCTGCTGGAATCACATCATAGAGTTGTATAATGTTAAAAAAATGATGTATTGCTTATTGGACACAAACTAAAAACAAAACATATAAAGTGGCATAATCAAAAAATGAAAGTTGCTATAGCAGCACATACCCTTAGTAATTCTGTGTCAGCTGGATTGGTGTACCTCAAAAACATGAAAGTATCACAGTGCCTAGACAGTGATGAAACAACAGAATTTGTTATGACAATCAACAACTTGTTTGACGTTCTGAATTCAAAAAGTAAACATTATGGTACACATTACAAGAGCCCATTACTTTTCAAAACTTAAATGAGCTTCAGTACTATATACATGACGCATACAGCAATGGAGTGAAACTAATGGTTGTCCTAGAAAAACGTTCATCTTAGGGTTATTCTTGAGGTGAATATTTCTTAAGAGACGAATTTCTCTTTTGTCTCTGGGAAAGGGAGAGTCAGAAACCCTTGGGTTGAAATTAATTTGAAGTTCTGAAACGTGACCAATTTTATATCCATGAAATATTCCATATTTTCATCAATGTCTAAACAAATTCTTTTGTGCAATTGTGAAGACGAATATTTGGTGCCTTTCAACAGGGCTACTTATTTCATGAGGGAAAGGGCTGGGGAAGTAAATTTTCGGTAGAATGGTTATGCATAGTGAAAGACCAAACAAATTTGAATTGGCAGAAATTTTTTAGGGTTTTCATATAATATGACAGTTTGTGTTCCTAGGCACCAATCTGAACTCCTCTTGTAGTGGTGTGAAAGACCAAACCAGTGGACTTGGCAGAAATTTCTTAGGGTTTTTCATATAATATGAAAACCAGTGGAGTTGGCAGAAATTTCTTAGGGTTTTTCATATAATATGACAGTTTGTGTTCCTAGGCTCGCTGATGAGACAAATATTGTCGACTTGATAGTTCTTAAAAGTGTCAAAAATGTGATGACTAACTATGTCACATGACACTATACCGAGCACAGTGCTTGGGCACGCACGGGCTCTATTGTGAACGATGGGGCAACAAACTATGGCTAGTGCAAATTGCACAAACGAAACAAAAGCCGCACGATGAATATAAAATAGATAAAGACAGCGGGTACCGTGTAATGTGAACGGCCAACTGATCTGTGATTTAACTCGAGTTCTGCTCTTAGACACTTATTTTGAACGTGCTGCAATTCTGACTATTGAATGACTATTTTGACTCATTTAACATCATGACTATTTTCACTTAGAGACCACATGCTCTCCGTCGTCTTTTATCATCTGGTTTTTTTTTGCATAATGATAATTTTTGGTTTATCTTTGAGTTGATAACCTCTTGCTCTTTGTTCAGTGCTTGTACATTTGGATGTAACTACATTTAATTGCTAAGACTGTATCATACATTATATATTCTCAGATGCTACAACAAGTCAGATGTAAATATTCTCCAATATTTATACCTGACTGGCTCTAGTCGTTACAGATCATTATGCAATAATGCAAAGAAATCAGATGCTGTAAGTCAATAGCGTTTACCGAAAATAGATTTTATCAAGTTTTATATTTCATATACTACGTACAACAGCCCATTGATAAGCCATTCATTATTGCTCATACATTTAAAAAAAGTAAATACTACGGTGAATGGTCAAATACTAACGCAATATAGTTCTTAAAAGAATTGTTTAAGCCAGAACACTTAACGAACATTTCTAAAAGAACTGTTTCTTAAGCTTGAAATGACAGCATGCATTTCGGCAAACTACTCATCACGTGTCAACGACTGCTAGATGAGAGCTACAAAATCATGCGATATTTATAACATTACCAAAAGTCAACGTCATCTGTAAGTTTAGAGATGATGCTTAAAGAAGAAATAAATTAAACACGTAATCTCTCTGCTAAGAGACGACGGGATTTGTCAACTTAATTTATACAGACTCAATGACGCGTAACTGAGATAAAAAGCAACATTTTTAATAACTCTAAAGTTAATGATCTAAAAATGTTTTTAGAGAACTAATTTTAGCTTGGTCAAAGGATGTAGAATTTAGCTTTGGTGACACAAAGTATAAACAAATAGATGGGGTGGCTATGGGTTCTCCACTTGAATGCAAAATGTTTTCCTCTTCACAACCTCAGGAGGGGCTTTGGTATAAACGTTACGTATATGACACTTTTTCTTTGTTTGGTAATAATGAAATTCGCAAATTATTTCCACAAAAACTTTCTTCTCTTCACCCTGTTTTAAACTACACCTCTGAACAAGAGACAAACGATCAATTAGCTTTTATAGATGTTCTTGTTCATAAACGCAACGGTCAATTCTTAACATGCATTCATCGAAAAGCAAATTTCACTGGTTTGCACACACCCTTTGACTCTTTCTCTTCGCACAGAGAAAATACTTCTTTAGTGAGGTGTTTGATAAAGCGAAATCATGTAGATTGTCGTCGAGTGAGTTTATTGCGAGTATATCTAAACTCATTGAGGAAAATTTTTGCTTCGAATGAATATCCGGAAAATTTTCTAGACAAACATTTCTTATCAACTATTAATGAACGAGATAAACCTTTTGGACCGGTAAAGTGTCCTGTATACTTTAAACTTTCCTGGATGGGAAACGCCTCAAATGACATCGAGAAGGGAAACTAAAAGTATTAGCTACTGAGATTTGTTTTTCGCCTGCAACTTTATCTTCATATTTTTGAAAAAACAATTACACCACCCACCCCCAAAAAGTCTTTGCCTGTGCAAATGTCAAGCAATGTAGATACACTATGTTGTTCTAATGTGTGTTCAATGAGCTCAAATGTGAAAGTGATGCTCGCTATGTAGAAAGAACTTCTCCAAGTTTGAGTAATAGAATAAAACAACATGTACCAGCTTCTATTAGGAACAAAACTGTTTTTTAAGACAACAGTCAAAACGCAACTTTAAGATTGAAAAAATTCGATTTCATGGGACTCAGCGATTGGAAAACATCTTTTGACCAACACTCACTGGTCCAATTCATATTCTGATCATAAATTTAAAGTTATTAAAAAATATCGCTCATTATTTCAGTTACGCGTCATGAAGTCCCGTCCTCTGCCGACAGAAAGATTACGTCTTTCATTTATCTATTTCTAAAGCGTCATCTATCAATTAAGAGATGACGTTGACTTTTGATTATAATATAAAAATCTCATTTTGCAGTCGTTGACACTTGATGAGTAATCTGCCGAAATGCATAGTGTCTTTTAAGCTTAAAAAACAGTTCTTTTAGAGTTTTTGGTTTAGTGTTCTGCCTTAAACAGTTCTTTTAAGAACTAGTACGTTAGTATTTGACCATTCACGATGGTATTTAGTCTTTTTGAGACAATTTTTAAATTTTCCACCACGACAAGTCTTTGTTTTGCTCATATATTCTACTTATAATTGATCTTTCTTCCTAGTCACGACTATGTCAACCACAAAATAGAACTCTTCGACTGACTACCTTTGTTTGATCATTTGCCTAACTGACGTTTTTTATACTCTGCTTAAAATAAAAAAGTGTTTGTTTTTATGGGCTCATATCGATGTTTTCATAAAAAAGTCTAAATATTTGTTTTTCAGATTTTTCCTCGGCAGGCTTTTTTTCAATATCAATATTTCAACTAACTTTTTGAAATTTTTCATAATTTATTGGCGATGTCACATCCTAACACCCCTTCTAATATGAGTTTCGCACAACCTGTACGAAGTGCTGGTTCACTGCTCTCGAGACTTCACTCAAACGATGGGACTGTATTTTGACAATTGTATTTTAACACTTGATAGGATATTTACAGTGGTTTGTGCAAGATTTGTGATACGGAGTTCCAAACGTTGGTTCTTTACGACACAAATATGTTATTGAAACGTTGAGATTACGGCCAACCGTCAATCTTAAACTTGAAACTTATTCAAACGCTATCGCCTCCTGCGATACGACTTCTAACTTTCACTTTTGTACATCTAACAACGTCTGTTTTTCCGAACGCCGAACCAACGCTTGCAAGCTCTTATTTATATTGTAATTATTCGGACATCATTTTTGGGCGTTTTCACGACTTGCAACTACGCCATTGCGTTTATAGAGTACCGTCGTTACCTACATCCTACCGCAATGCCACATTGGGTAGAAAAATTGTTCCTAAGTATTTTGAATTTACGTACATGATTTCCACTGAAACCACAGTTTAATAACTATATACGTATTTTCCTATTATATGACTAACATTTTACAATTTATATGAGTAATATATGACTAACATTTTACAATTTATCATACGGTATATTCACACACTACACAACATAACATGACAATTTACAACAATGTGCCCCTGCATGCTGTGTGCATATCATGGTGCATTCAATACCACTGTTGCCTCCTTTGTTTTGTGACATGGATTTATATTTAGTGGAATACGTAATAAAGTGCTGTTTTTGCAAATTAACATGAGTTGGTTCCTCTACTGAACATTCGCAACGCGTTATTGAAATCGGTAGCTTTATTACGCGGTGAGCCTTCTAGAATTGCTAATCCCCAACGCGCATGAAAACTCTATCTGTTTATGAAAGATTTTGACGTGAAGTCACTCGTTTGTTGAAGGATGTAACCATTCTGCCTGGGTTACCTAACTTTCATGTTAAACAGGCCCTTGCCGGTTCGAAATTTTGTGAATGTTTTGACCTTTGTGAATGTTTATGAATTTTGAAAGTTTCAGATTTTGACTTCCGTTTGAAAAATTCTGTCCTGGTTTCAAGATACAGCATACCTTTTAAATATCTTCGCAGACTTGACAAATAAGTAATTTGATTTTAGAGAGGTTTCCTATTCTGGAGAGGTTTCCTGTCTAATTATACATTAGACAGGTATTGCATGCATTAATGAATATCCGCATGAAAAAGTATATTTTAAATGCATTCATTCCTCTGTGTTCAAGAAATAATATATATAAATATCGTCAAAGAAGAAAGAGTCGCTTCTCCATTAGGTATCCATTTACTCGTAAATCATCTGTTTAGACTCAGCAGACTGAATTCTTCAAACGAATAAAAAGATCTTTCTGTGTCAACAGAACAGCAAAAGTAAACAAGAAGATTCAACAGCAATTTTTTTGGATCTTGTGATAATATCTGGTCAGGGCTTGTTAATGATCTTAGTCAAAATGTGGGAACACATAATGCTTAAATGAATCTTAAATGTTTTATTGTGTTAAGGTTTTATATTTTTTACAAGTATTACATGACACAGGCGTCACGTTCGAAGCGTCAACATAGATATTTCTTCTTGAACGTCGTTTGGTGAAATAAACATCGTGCCTTTGTGAATGGAATTATTGAAAAAACATAAATGAATTAAGTGCTATGTAGGAAATAAGCTTTTAGGAAAGCTAGTTAAATTGTAAAACCTGTCTTTCAAATTTTTGTGTAATCATCATGTGCGACGATCGTATATAAATAATAATGTTTATATGTTTTTTTTCAGAAGACAGCCTGTTTTCATTGTTTGAACGTCAAACAGATACCATAGCAGATTATGATGATTACTATTTGTATCGTTGCCTTATTTGTATTGGTGAATTTTGCTGAACCAAGTGAAAACTGCAACACTAGATATGAACGGAAATACAAACGTAAAAACTGTAGCTGCTCAATACCGGTCAAACAACTACCAAAAAACTGTATAGATATCAGAAAAGAGATTCATAAGGTAAATTTACTAATTGAAGAGATATATGCACAAAATTAAAAGCCAATAGTTCTAAAATGACCAAAGGGTAATGCAAAACGAGAATACGACGGCAGGACGATCAATATGGATGAAAAATTACGGACGGATGAGCATACAAAACGTGAATTTCAAGGCTCGTCCGTGTGTGTGACTTTCTTTCTGTTTCATTTTTTAAGTATTTTTTGATAATTCTAATAGCTATGATTCATTGCTCTTATAAGTTTTTCTTAAAGTGCCCCTTCCACCAAATTTTTTCGCAATATGAAATCTGCCTATGATTTATGCATCTCTGTATGAGTAAAAATTTTTGAATTTTGTCAAGTCAACAAGCTTTTATGGCGTCTTGAATTTGTGCATTTTTGGCCCATCGCCGTTGTTTTCTATAATACGAAAGAAACTGGCACTAGAAGGTATTTCGATGTCATCTCAGGTGGTCGGAATTAGGGCATATTTAGTTTAATCAGCAGTGTTCCATCAGATGATTGTGACAGAAACTTTTTACAGCGATACGCTATAGAAAGCTCGGCAGGCAAAGAAAACTTTAGCAATTTTGACCCCAAAGCGTGAATGGTCGGAAAGACACAAATTTCAAGCTTATCTCTTTAAGCCTTGGAAAATTAGCGTTCTTTTCAATCGGCAAACTACTAAATCGACGCTCAAAATCCTCTGGTCTTAAGTGATCTGAACAAATTCTTGAAACTCTTGACGGCTCAAATACGCTCTTTGATTTAATAGAATGAACCCATATTTTCTGCCTTCGCTTAGCCTCAGTCATCTTATCATTATAATAAGGTATATAGTGTGAAGACTTCCACCAGAGCTAAGGCTTGATATATTCGTTCAATTGGCCACAACGCAAGTATTTACCATTTTTCTGGTCTTACTAGGGCAAGAGCAAAGCTATTAGACGCTTATAGACTTAAATATGCCTCAGCAATTACTAGAAAGCAATTGAATACATAAGAAGAGTACTTTGGATGACGTCAGAAAATTAACTAGTTTCAGACTCCTCATTGTCACGGACATGGTTCACAAGAATATACGACTTTGTGAAAATTTTACACTTTACAAAAAACAAACGATTTTATAAAATTCAAAAATTCCTTCTTAAAGAAGCTTAAAATCATAGACAGATTTCATAATGCTAAAAAAATTTTTACGGAAGGGGCATTTTAAACATATGATTGAAAAAGCTCGCAAAAAATTATATTTCGTTTTATAATATGTCAAGAATTATTCAAAGGTAGTTTGAATTCCATAAATCATTCAATTGTTTGAAAACCATATCACTCAAGTAGCTAGTTCTCAGGTGTAGTTATAAAAATTGTGTTCAAATTAACATAAGTATCTCCAATTGTCTTAAGTACGAAATATGTTACGGTGAGAATTATGGCGTAACCCAAATGTTTACTTTTACACAGCTGAGGTGAAAAAAATAATGTAATGTTGTATACAAATGCATTTCACTTTATTGGAAATAGACGTTCCCTTTTTATTCAGTTTTCGCATGTGATAGGATGAGTGACCGTTCGAGAAATTTTGGTATGGTTTCAGTCTTTTAGACATTCAAAACAAACTATGTAATGATCTAAATAATCAATTCTAACACATAAAATCACCACAGTGATGTATCGTGTATATTCACAGTGGGAGGGGTCCCAATTCTTAGTTATTTTGTTAGGAATGACAGTAAATAATGTTTTTTTAGTTAGGAAAGAACAAACAGTGATGATGAACATGCAAATTGTATTGGCAATGCCTCCCCCTTTCCGTCTTCTCAGTTGCCGTGAGATAAAAATGTTCCCAATGCAAAAAGTGATTTTTTGTTCCTGGAAAAAAGATGACAAACGAGTTCAGCGAAGAAATAGGAGCTCAAATAATTCCTCTTAAGAACGAACGTATGTCCCAATAAAAACTTGCAGAGAAGATGAAAATTACACAGAGTGCAGCACAGCTAACTTTTAAAAGGTTGTTGAGTCAGCATCTTCCTCTATAATGAAGTGATTTTGGAGGCCAATAGAGCCACAACTCCAAGACGACTTCTTTGCCTGACAGAATAGCCAGTTAAGGATGGTAACATCCTGTTATTACAAACTACAACACATAAAAGTCAATTAGTGAATAAATATAGTCTAAACGGACGAGTTTTAATTTCGAAACCATTGCTTAGAGCCTGCAACAAAATAACACGAAGGGTATGAGCTCGAAAATATAAATTTCACCCTTAAAAGGATTGGGATTTTCTTTTTAAGGATGAATAAAAATTCAAAATATGCAGAAACAAGCGGCTGGTTTACATGTCAGTCGTCGGAAGAATTGAGAAACTTGTCGCTTCTTGCATTAAACCAATAACTAAAATGGTGGTATAGAAATACTCAGATCTGAGGAGCTTAAGTAGCTATAAAATGGCGTTGGTGATCTCAATAAAAATACAAACCATCTGGACAGAAAGCAAAACCATATTTAATTATACAGAGATACGTCATAATATTGGGTTGAAAAGTTTTGTGTTGTAGCAAGATAATGATCTCTGACAAAAATCACTTCTCAAATTCCTAAAAAAAGGAGATCTGAAAATTATGGCTTTTTTGTCTTAATCTCTACAACTATAATCTGACTGAGAATTTATCGCATTGTTTTTAGCGAGATATATGGAATAGTGTTAATCCATGAGTACTCTAGAAACTTGTTCACTCTAAGCTCACCAGAGAAGGAAGACATACACAATATTAAAAACTTAAATTGATGTTAACTCACTCTAAATGAGGTATATTTTTTATATAAATACATATTGCTTGCATTTATAGTGATTTGTTGAGTGACAATGTGTTGAATTCCAATAAAAACTCAATCGTGTTGACTTGACTTAGGCCTCTGACCCCCCTTGTAGTTGCAAAATGAATGAAAGTTGAAACAAAGATAATTGAATAGTTGTGAACCAGCAGAGGACTCAATTCTTTGACAACAGAGAGACAGGATTATACGCGCAAAGGAAACAATCGTTTGGAATTATGGAAGATTACATTGTTCATGCTACATCTAGTTTGAGCATATAGATCAATGTAATTGATGAAACTCAGTCATTCGATCGGTCAGTTGGTCGTTTATGTTGATTTGTGTAGCTCATCTTTACTTTGAATAATTCATTAAAAATATGAGATTTAAATTAAAATATACTTTTTTTGCATGCTTTTTCATTTCAATCAATTGTTCAAGAAAAACTCATAAGCATGAATCATAAATTATTGATACTATTCCTTTCATAAAATGTTTGAGCAAAGAAACAGCATGAAATTCTCATCTTAAACCACATCAGATTTATGCCCTTTCGATTAAAACACGGTAGTCTACAAACAGCGTAAAAGTCACATTTTGAAACAACTGCTTTATACTATTTCGAGTAAAATGCGGATGACACTTGAGATAACGCGAAAGTGATATTTTACAACGTCTATAACATTCTTGAAATCCACGTTTATAGGAACTAAGCTCTTCACTCCGCCCGTCCGGAAATGCTATCCGTCTGTGATTGTTTATCTGCAGTGATAATATCAGTCCGTTCTTTTTGACAATTTACCCTGTAGCTTTCATAAATAAAAATAAATATGCACTAAGTTTTTAAGGGATTCAGTTATTAAATTTTTCAATCAAAGCAAGTCAGAGAAAGAACTTCAAAATGATTTATTCAGTGCAATGTTTTCAATGAACATATCCTTCAGGTTGTGCATAACAGAAACTGCATATAACCTGTTGAAAAGTAGGAGAGGCGTGGTAAAAGAACCGAAAAGCATACTTTTTTGTTGGATACTGAACTATATCTAATAATTGTGTGGTCTATGTAGAAAGTAGTATGTCCACGCCCTCACCCAAGCTCGGCAATCATTTCAATGTATCGTATGAACAAACCTAAAGATTTAGGTATATTTATACTATATGCAGTATCACTGATGTTCATGCGATCTTTGATCAATGATTTACATTTTGAGTACTCGTACAAAAATAATTGTCTTGCGAATGAGCATTAACGAAGTCTAGTCTGTATCACTCAATTTTCGATTTTGTCTTAAAAACTACTCACAACGTTCTTTTTCTTTCGAAATTCAGAATGAATGGGAAAGGACTTACGGAAAGGTTCATTTAGCGATTATAGCTGTGGGACCAGTTGGAATTATTTTAAACACTTTACTGGTTTTGGTAATGCTTCGTGATCCCATGAAGATCCTTCATCGTGGAGCATGGATAACAATCCTTAATCTTTCTTTGTCCGACACAATGGCTTGCTCAGCAAGAGTGGCATCTTCAATTATCGTAAAATGGTGGGATATTGAAGTAAACAACAAGTCCAAAATTTATACAGAGTTCTTCTGGCAATTTGGTGTAGTTGGCTCATTCTTTTTTCTTACGCTCCTCACAGTCCAAACTTTCATGATAGTTAAATATCCCATAAGAAGCCGCCTTGCCATGACAAGAAGAAGAGTTTTACTTATCATTGGGATTGTGTGGGTTATGTCGTTGGCGCTTGCTCTACCTGAAATCGACGACATTTCTAAAGATAAAAGACATTATTTTTTCTTGGCAACCATATCTGTTTTGGAATTTGCAACAATCATTCAGATCATAATGAAAATATTCATAATAAAAGAAATTCTCTCACCTATAGAAATGATGACAAACGACTTCAGAAACGAGCAGCAAAGAGAAGTCGCCAAAACTGTTATCCTACTCAATGCTATTCTTATGGTTACAGCCATTCCATACTTTATTTTCAAACAGGTTGAGTACATAGACAGATTAAATGGTAGATTTGATGATTTGAAGGTTAAACTTCCATATTACTACGAGCCCATTGCCATGATCAATTTTGTCGCCAATCCATTAGTTTATTCACTTCGTCTGAAAGATTATCGCAAAAGTTTACTTCACTTGTTTTTCCGTTTTAAAAAAAATCGTGTTCCTTCAGCGAAGTATAGCAAGAAAACTATGACTACAAATATGTAAAGTATTTACGTAAGTCATTCTTTTTCTTCAGCGTACATTTCTACTGCATTTTGTTGAAGTCTAAATGATGGATGGCTCTACAAAATTCAACTGTTATTTCTCGCATTTCTTCATTTTAACAATTCTTGTTTATGTCATAGATATTAATTTCACTACTAAATTATTTTGTTAGCAACATTCATCATTGGAAGTGCACTTGAGGCACTATAATTTTGCCATGGTCCATGTATATATGTAATATGTGCGATGTAAACGGATTCTATTTATATCTTAAAGCTCAAACCAATCCCAAACTTGTACAACTGTTTCATTTCTTTGATAATAATGAAATGCTCATACGTTTTATTCATTCCAGCATTTATGTTGAAGAAGAGATCTAAAGTGCAATAGTATACAAAAAAGTATACAACGCTGCATGACCAGTATTAATGTTTCGCCTAACAATTACTACATATTCTTACAATGCATTAAAACTTTTAAAAAATTAACATTAAACTTAAATAAACGTGCAAAAAAGTTGAAGCTGGGGCCATACAGGATCAATAATTGGGGATGGGGCTCATTAATATATTCGTTTTTTTTTAATTTTAATTTTGTTAAGCCATGGTCACAATTTATTTCAATGAAAAACTACTGAATTAGAACACATATGAATGTTGGCCCTCCAATGATCTAGCTAGCGTGGCCCCTGTGCAATGCAATGTCCACCAAAATTGTGTAGCTTTTACAGCAAGTATTTTAAACATGATAATATCAGAATTATAACGAGCATACATGGTTGAATTAAAATATCAAGAGAAATTGTTTTAAGGACGATGCAAATCCAGAAGACATGAGGGTGGCAAAGACCTGAGCAAGCGCAGATCGCCACATTTATCTCAGCCATCAACGCTTTCTCGAAATTATTCTTAAAGAGATTTACTACTTTGGTTGATAAACTAACCCGATCTATTAGATATAGAGGTTTTAAATACTTGTCGAACAAACAAGAACATCTTCGACTTCAGTGAGATGAAGAGCATTAGTAAAGAAGACAATATTCTATCTAACAAAGAAACATACAGCACAAATATTAAGGGGAAAAAAGGCAAAACCAAGAACAAAGTATGATGAAAAAAAAGTATCATTAAACATGAAACGCATTGTTATACTCTTGAACACTAAGCAATACATTTCATGTTTAATGAAAATTTAACTTTCATCAAAATTAAAACACTTCTACAGCACCTCAAAAATTGCTTGTTATGATTTAGGAGATATTATAATTAATGTCTTTTCTTTAATTTGAGTATAAAGAAATTTCAAAAGATCGATCTCCAGATGTTTGTGAGCTGCATACTATATTATAATGAATAAATCGATGACTAATTAAAGGCGTGTTATTATCCAACTAAATTTCAGCATAAAATTGAATTGATATTTTCCTGTTTATGACCTTGAGATACTTTCTCCCTAAATATTTTTGGTTCCCACTTTTGCAAAAATTTTCAATAAAAATAAAGAAAATAATCTTAGAAAAGACTATCATCAATGAAGACACGACATAAAAATAAACTTGGAAAACGGAGAGCATGAAAGACACGAGGTGAAGGCAACCAGAAGCTCGAGTTCAGAAATAATCGATATTTTCAAAGAATACAATTTATGGAAAGAGAAAGAAAAAACGAAGAGCATATATTAGACTATCATGATGAGACGAGAAAAACTATTTTAACAAATGAAGGACTAACTGATCAGTTTTAAGGAGTTTACAATATCTTCTCTACTTCATTTTTTATGTGAAAAAAACAACTTTTAACGTTAATTGCTTAAGAGAATTTTCAGAACATCTTTGCAACTTAGCAACGTCTCCAAGTGCTCTGAAAGGAAGACTTTTAGTTACAACTTTAATTGACATATCTACCACTACGTCATTAAGAAAAACGTAATGAATATTTTCCTAAGAGAAAAATGGACTGTTCGGCATATATCAGCCCTAAAACACCTGTTAAAATAGAAAAAAGTTTTTAGTGTTTAAAAGACCTTTTAAAACATTATACTTTTTCTCCTCCAACTGTTCAAGTCTCATATATATATATATAAAGGCAAGAAAGACTTTTAGTTTTAACGTGAATAAAGCCAAGTGTTTTCGGTATCATTTTTCACAAGAAATTTACGACAATGGCAGCATTGCAAAAACTTTTGGTAGTTGTTTTCCTCACTCTTGTTGTCCATGGAGTATGTTTGGAAGCACATCAAAGAATTTGGGACGATTTGTTCCACGGTGATAACAACGAAGTAATCATGAAAAATAAAAGAGAGCACAAGCCCTTTGCTATACCTGGATGCACAGGTTCCGTGTCTTTGTGTCCTTACAGTAAAAGACGTAGTTATGGTGACTAGGCTACAGATATTAACATTAACCCAATCGCTGAATATTTTTAGTTAGAACATACTGTCATATAGACATATTTAAAACAGTCATCGTTTTAGTTAAAATATGCAATGTATAGTTGAAGCAATAAAGTTACAAATATACTTGTTGCTCCATAATTTGCGTTGTTTTGTTTTAAAGGAAGATCAGCACTATTTTTTTAAAAAAATTAAAGTACTAGGCTGATAATATGAAGAAAAGGAACGCGGAAAACTCGTAGAGATCATATTTTACACTTGAAATTTCCAAACATGCATTCTCGGCTCGTATCTTTAGACAAAAAGCGTGCTAGCAAATGTACCTATAGTTGAAAATTTACTAAATAGCTAAAGCAAACGATATAGCCATTAAATATTACCAGTGCTGTATGATAAAAAATCAGTTTTTTGTGATCTCAGAATTATGATTCTCATTTAGACTGCATGACTTATGATTTTAGTCGATTTGAAGAGAACTTTATTTAATGCTTTGGCTACATCTGTTAAAGGTTCTCCTTTTTCCAACTCAAAAAAGGAACTATTTTAATTGAGATATAAAGAAAATTTTATTTGCAAATGCATGCTGAATATTACATATTTTCTTCGATATCAGCTTTTGAAAAGTTTGTTTTTATTAATTAAAATTAAGAAATTATTCTCATTCCATTCAAAAATTAATAGCAAAACTAAAATTTCGACACTCGTTAAATTAAATAAATTATTGAACATTGTTTAGCGTATGACACAACCCAGGGATAAACTTGCCATTCATTTGTTTTTGAAATGGCAGCGAAGCCTTGCTGCTCTCAATGCCCAAAGGTGAAAAAACTCAATTTGGACTTGCAATCATTTTGTGAGGAGTACTTGGTCATTTTTTTATTATCATGCATGAAAGAAAAAACATAACTTGGGAAAGCTAAGTTAATCGTTTGTTCAAGCGTAAAACACAATATTAAATGCACAATAGCATATTGAAGTTCGATTCAGTTTTTTCTTTACACACTGTCGTTTTGTGCTCATGATGACAAACTGCTCTGGCAAGCATTATTTCTTTACCTGAAGTTAAGAGGAGAATACGCACTAGAAAGAATAATCATAGCTTTAGTCCTCTTGCTTGTGTCAAAGAATAGTGATTATACTGAGGGTCACTTAAGTGTGCACCGCGTCCTCATGGCCGCCATTATTCGAGCAAAATACTTTGGGTTTTTCACTTGTTTCCAACCACAGCAATTATATGACATCGTTTCTTCGTAATGAAATTAAAAATATTTCAACTTAAGAAATGACGCCGGGTCGTTTTAGTGGTTGGGAGCAAGTGAAAAACCCTAAATGTCTTGCCCAATTAATGGCAGCCGATATGTGCGGCACAACCATTGAGTTCTATAAGACCTGGAGGGGAAACGTCATCAAAATTACTATAAATTATAATCGCGCGGCCGCGTGGTCAAAAACATGGCGGTAATGGCGGATTTTGGTTGTCAAAACTTCCACTTTGAGAAAAATTTTTAACATTCGCTCCCTCCCGAATCCTGATCTCTATTCCTACTTATATTACGACAACCAGCGAAAACAACCACGATACCGTAAACATAAAATATTGAAAATCACGCTTCAGATTTTTGTGAAATAGACACACACATTTAAATGAGGTAAATCTACTGTAAAATAACGTATATTTTGTCAAGTAATGCTTTAGCTATATTAGAAATAAATATCAAACGGCAATCTTTACACTGTCAATGTGTTGTTAAGCTTTAATGCATAATCCCATGCGCAATACTTGTGTTTTTGACTATTTGTAAACAGCTTGGTGGAACTGTCTTTCTTGAATAGATGGGTAAATCTTAGTTAAAATGTCCAAAAAGGAGTTAGAAAAAGTTAGCTTACCCCTACGACTTAAGTCGACTGGAAATATATTATAATTAGGTATGTAATTTTTTTGAGTTTTTTTTGGTAGGATTGATTCTGGGTGTCTTATAAAGTATTATGATATTCTGATAAATCTACTGAGAACTTATGAGGAAAATATCTTGAACTAGGAGAGCAAAAGAACGAAATTCAGAAATTCTATAATCATGTTGCTGGTTCTGTTTTGAGCCAAGATATTAGAAACTGGATTGTCATTGACATAACACTTTTCTTATTGCTGCATGAAGGCAAACCTGTTTAAATAATAATAATGTAGGTGAAGATTTTTAGCATGTTGTATAATTGTTATTGTACAGTCATTATTTATAATATTATGGCCTTGTGTAATGTATGTCAAGAAGAACATATTAATTCTCAAAAATGCTAACCTTCTTGCACTACTTTTCTCTTGTGTCCTTACAAATTACAGTTACCTATACTAATTTTTTCTAGGTTCAAACAACTTGACAAACTTTTGAATTTTACATTATGCCTTTGAATTTTTCTTTTTGTCTTTTGGTAAAAATATCAGTGAATGACTTTAAAATCAAGTTTATCTAAAATAGTATTTTGTACAAAGTAACTATACATAATTGAAAAGTCTCATGTTGAAGGCAGATGTGGCTTCTTTTACTAGATTGCTACTCTTATTCTTTTAAATGATATTGTAATTCTTCAAAAGACATAAAAGTTCTTTGCCATCAATTTTGCTTCTTCCACATTCAACTTCATTGCAACCGATGCATCTTATGTGAATTTTAATCACCTGGAATTGAAAACGTATGGATTTTGTCAGATGATGCAGTACTGTATTTAATGTTTCATGCATGTCATGATAAGCTTTTCTTGAGCAAATATTTCAAGGTAGGAGCAAAATTTGGCACATTATTGAACAAAGTAGTTTTTATCTTGATTTTGATGTACTAACCTGTTTACTACACTATGTAACAAACAATTCATTTACAGAAACACCAGATGGCATTTATAAAACTTTTAGCATAAAGCAAACCTTTACACACCATCATTATGATTGTCCATAATCTGTCAAAT